TGGAATATATGCATGTAGACAAAGACTGGAGAGAAATATGCCAAACTGACATGGTTGTATTAAAGGGAAAAAAATAATTTAAGAATTTCTTCTATGAAAACAAAAAATGTAAGGGTATTTTAGAATGTTGAAGGCTAAATACAAAATAGTGGATGTTTCATAAAACTTAGCATGCATAAATTATTCTTTTGCATATTTTAATTCTGAAAGTAAAATTTTTGAGTAGCTTAATTTTTGATTATGGGCACTAGTGGTTATTAATACAGAAATTAATGTTCAAGTACATTTTTAATTCTTAAAACTTGCATTTACATCAGAAATTTTCCTTTAGCCAACAGAATTATATATTAGCATCGTATATCAAGGCCAATTTTATAATTTATACAAGCATGTATAAGTTATCTATGCAAATGATCTGTACCAACTCCCATATATTTTCTATACATCTCTATGTTTCACATTGTATTTTAATTACTTGCTTTTCTCTTTGTATATAGCTATTTTACGTACCTGAATGTTAGATCTCTATCTTAGTATCTTACGTCTTCACTGTGCTTAATGCAGTGTGTGGACATAGTAGGTGCTGTCTTCAAAAGTATTGCATAAATTGTGATTGAAGTGCTAGTTAATGAAATAAGAAAATGGGAACAAAAGTTAACAGACTTGGAAGGAAAAATCAAAATGTCTTTGTTTACAGATGACATGAAGGTCTATATATGTTTGAAATATTCTAAAATAAAGTGTTAAATGTCATTCTTAAAGGGGTGGGATCTATGGTATAAACATACAAAGAGAAAAACTGGCAGCAACCAGAGGCATGGGTAGCTTATTTAGAGCAACAGATGGGAAGGTAGAGGGTTGCTCCAGATGCTGATAAGTGGCCAATGTCATTGCAGGAGATTATGGCAGTTCAAAACACTTTGATTTAATCAGTGAAATAAGCACAGTATGTGGCAGAATGTGGAGCTAGGGAGAGAAAACTGTAAGTCTGGGTAAAAAGAAAGTATGAAATAATTATGTGGGAATGTGAAAGAGTAAATAGAATGAAAAATGGCATGATTATTAGACAGAAAATAGTGATACATCAGTGAGTGAGTCTCATGGTGTAACCAGTCATGTGGTTTTGTATTTTATTTTTCTTCTATCATGTTCCACTACGTGGTGGAGTCTTGCAGTAGTAGGGTAACTTAAATTAGCTAGTGCTGTAGTTTTACTAGTCGAGTCTGATAAAGGTAAAGGTAGGGCAAGGGCTTGCAGATGTTTGAGAGATGGCTCATGACAGAATAGAATATATTAAGGGAGTGTGGAAGAGTAAAAACTCTGTAAGTCCAATGGATTAAAGGATGACTGTGTTTAGTCATCTAGTATATTTGACTCATCTCCGTCCCCACTTTTCTGTCCTAGTTAACCTGGTGTCTAAGAACAAGGCTTGGAATAGAATTCTATTACACTTTAATTTTGTTTATCCCTGTCCAAAACACATTGCCTTAACTCATAATGAAAGTCTCATATTTGGAAGACCAGATCCCCAAATTTTTCAAAATATAGGGGAAATAAATTTTCAAGGAAAAAAATAGCTGAGAAAATTCATCACCAACAAAAGGAAATACAAAAGAATTTTCTTCAGGTAGAAGGAAGATACAAGATAGATAGCGACTCTTGAGATGTAGGAAGTAATAAAGAGCAAGAAAAGGATAAATATACAAATAGAACTGAATGAATATTTACACTGTAAAGTAATAACATCCCCATAGGGGTCATAAAAAATAAAATTAAAGCACATAACAACATCAGTGTATCAGTCAAAGGTGGGTTAACAAGGTTTGAGAGTTCTAAAATCCTTGCATTGTCCTGGAGGAGGTATCAATGATTACTGAAAGACACATGACATAATCTGTAGGTAGGAGTGAACTATAACCACACATAATAAAAGAATGTATATGTATGAAGTTAATAGGAAGAAACTAAATAATAAAAAATATTCAACTCAATAAATATCTCAATATTCTACCATAAAGAGAAAGTTAAGATATCTAATAGCCTGAGCATCATCGAGAAATCCAGTTTATCATAGTGGCTTAAACATCACTTTTGAATCAATGACAAAATGGATGTATGCATTAGGTAGGGTTATTTCATTGTTATCCAGTCTGGGAAAAAAGAAAGTATGTCATAAATCTGGGAATTGCTAGAATATAGATATAAATGCAGTCATTCAGGCATAGCTCCCCGCTCTCCACACTCACCTGACTGAGGTTTTCAATTCTGCCCTCAGAAAAAAATAAAACAATGAGCACTTTTTTTTCCCAAAGATTTATTCATTTATTTATACAAACACTGGGTATAGTCAGAAGCACTGGAGGGTGAGAGAATTCACCAGAGACAGAGCGGGGAGCAGAGCAGGCAGAAGGACCGAAGTACACTGCTGAGGGGAGCAGCGGGCGGCAGGAGAGGTCTGCGCGCCATGCGGGACCCTCCTCCGGTGGCCGGGGAGCAGCCGGGTATCGAACGGGCGCTGCAGAGGCTGAGGGCAGCTTCGCCACCCAGCGCTCAACCGCTGCGCCACCGGAGAGACCCGACAATGAGCATTTCTTATGGGGACAACCGTTTTACGTTGACTCAGACATGCAGGCAAACCTTTCATTCCTGGGTGCTTTTTTTGTCTGTTTTTCAGTTCTGAATCCTCGCATTTCTTCAAAGATCTGGCTTTTTACTTCCCCCAAGATTTCTGTTATAGAGACTGAAGAAGCCATCATCCTCCTATAGGCTACTGAGTCTTAATATACCCTCCAGTCACCACCAAGCCTTCTTCTAAATGAAACAATTCCTGTTGCTTTAGTTCCACAGGTTCTTAAAATAGTGATCTGACCATCTGTTAGAATCGTCGAATTTTGATTGAAGAAGAGAAACCTCTTGGTTATAGTAGACTGGATAAAGGGAAAAAACATCTTAAGGAAAGATATGTAATGAAATTAATTTCTACCTTTTAATTCCAGAATATGAGTTGATTTCAGTCAACCCCTAGCAAACTCTTCTTAGCTCAGGGTAAAGGGCAGACCAGAATGAAGGTAAGTGGTACATTTAAAGGGAGTGCTAGAGCTATTCCAGTCTTTCCTCTTCAGCCTCTTCTGGTATCTTTACTATAATTCTAGATATCATTTAAATACGTGGCTGGCTCCTGTGTGTCAGGCAATCAGGCACTTTACTAATACTAGGCACTTTATCTAACACTAATCACACCCCTTCTTTACAGATTCTGAGATTGAATCCAGAGTTAAATAAACTGCCCAAGCCAAGCAGCTAGAAATGAGAGGTAAGGGCATCCTCGGTGGCGCAGCGGTTGAGCGCTGGGTTGTGAAGCTTCTCGCGGCTTCTGCAGCGCCGGTTCGATCCTCGGCTGCTCCCGACTACCAGAGGAGGGTCCCACGTGGCGCGCAGACCTCTCCTGCCGCCCGCTGCTCCCCTCAGCAGTGTACCTCAGTCCTTCTGCCTGCTCTGCTCCCCGCTCTGTCTCTGGTGAATTCTCTCAACCTCCCGCGCTTCTCACTGTACCCAGCGCTTGTATAAACAAAACAAACAAGCAAACAAATAAATAAATCATAAATAAATAAATAAATAAATAAATAAATAAATAAATAAATAAATAAATAAATAAATAAAATACATGCCTCTTAAAAAAAAAAATAAAAATAAATGAGAGGTAAGATTCATACCAGGATGCAACACCACACCTCCTCCTCTTGTATCATGCTGTGCTTTATGTTTCTCTGGGACAACTCCCCCCCCCAAAAAAAAAAAGAAAAAAAAAAGAAAAAGAAAAAGCCATAGGATGACTTTTGTGTTAATAAGAGGAGCAGGAGCAAGGACTAGTGAGAAATACTGATACCAGATGAGGAGGAAGGAAAGTAGTATTTGTTGAGCATATGCAGTGTTTTAAGCACAATACCAGGTTCTTTCACCATCTTTATTCATTTATTCCTCACAGTCACCTGGTGTGGAGATGATTTTATCCTTATTTTACGTATGAGGAGATCGAGGCCTAGAGAAAAAAGTAAAGTGCCCAAGGCCATGTAACTAAATGATTTTAAGCTCTGCATTTGAATCTCAGGCTTCAAAGTCACAGTAACTCATTGCTCCCTTTTTGAAATGCTTTTTTGGAGGAATGACAAGGAACAATAGAACCGTGGTGACTCGAGTAGGCACTGGGCTGGAGAGACAATTTAGTGTAAAGAGACGACTAAGATCACAGCAGGGAGTCAGGGGAGGACACTGGAGACTAGTTTTCTGAAGCGTTTCATGTAGGATGTAACCTCTGTGGGCATCAGTTTTTTCTAGTAAAAAATGGGTGATCTGAATTAGGCAATCTCCAAAATCCCTTCCAGCCTCAGAGTTTTGTGTTTTAAGTATTCAGAGGGTGCTGCCAACATTCCTCTTCCCCTAGGAGCACAACGTGACGGCTTGGGGTCCGGTCCTGAATAGCTCTTGAGGGTCCTGGAGCTGGTTGGACTCGGTGCCGCCGGGACCAGACTTTTTGGGGTGCAGGAGTGGGAGACCAGTATGATCTCGGTCCTTTGCCGCTATGATTTCCAAACGTGCGGAAACAGGACCCCTCTGAGATTTAAGCAGCAAACTGAGCGCACAGGGACGGGACAGTCACTTTGTGGGGCTCGACCGGGCGACCCGGCGAGGCTCTCCGGGCGTCAGGCGGCACCAGGCTGGATTCAGGCTTATCGGCCGCAGCTGGCGCGGCCGGGCCGGGGCTGGCGTCTCGCCCGGGTGGGCGGCGGCCGCGCCGGGCGCCCCCGGCGGCGAGCGCGGCGCGCGGGCCCCTCACCCGCGCCTGGCCTGCGGAGGGAACCGGGCGAGCGGCAGGAGCTGCTCCTGCGGGCCGGGGCCGTCGCCCCGGCGGCAGCGGGAGGCGTCGCTGGGGCCCGACGCGCGCGGGGGGCGGGGGCAAAGGCGCCGCGAGCAAAGTCCAGGCCCCTCGGCCGGGCCGCAGCGCCCCTCGCGCCCAGCTGCTCAGCCAGAGACGCGCAAGGTCCGAGGTGAGGGAGGCCCCGGCCTCGCCCGGCGGCGGCGGGAAAGCTCCGGGACGGCGGGCGCGGGGCGGGGGCAGCGGCTGGACCTCTCCTTGCGCCCCGGGCGCCCCGTGACCCGAGCGCACGGGCTCCGACCTCTGCGGCGGGGGAGGCCAGGCGGCTGGTGGTGCTACCCGAGCTGGGGCGGGGGCACCTGGACCTGAGGCTGTGGTTTCTCCTCAGGCTGCGATGGCCCTGGAGGCGGGAAGGAACGGAACCGTCCGGCGTCCCAGGAGAGCGGAGGGCGACTTTGAACTGGGCAGCAGCAGGTACATCACTAGCAGCCACCGCTTTTCCGTTACACGCGAACCAGCAGGGCCAAATTCGGCCTTAAAAAGAAGTTGAGAAAATCGGTTGCTACCTCTGGCCTTTATTTTGGAGACTTGGCGGCGGAGCTGACCTTCCTCAATGAAAGTCACTGAGGCGCCTTTTGGGACGGGCTCGGGAAGAAGAGGCTATCTTTAAAAGTGCCCGCTTCTCTTTGTGCAGGGTGATCCCGTGAAATATCCGTGTTGTATAACATTCTTTGCATTATATAACTCAAAACTTTTGCAAATAACTTTAGTAAACATCATTAATCTCTCGTGCTTATAGAGCCTCAGGCATCTGCTGTTGATGGTTGTGCTTTTCGAAGGAGGGTAGTGAAGCCAAAGCCTCCCCCCTCCCCCCTCCAGTTATTCCTCTCGCTTCTGTCTGGCCGGCCTCCCCTCCTCCCGGCGCCGGCCAGTTCCTTCTTTCTCCTCTCTGGTGGGGAGGGGAACCTTGAGCGCTTCATACTTCCATAGCCTTCGCTTCCAAATCAGGTTTTATTTATTTTTTTTTTTTGGTTCAGATGCATGGGGGGAAGCTCAGCGCTTCTTTTGCTAGCGTGTCTTTCTCCCCGAGCTGGCTCTTTGGTTCCCAGGGGCTCTAAGTGAACTTCACAGGCCTTAGTGAGTGGCCCAAGAGACCAGTCAATGGTGTGTTGTCTTTGCTTCCTCTTTCACAGTGGGAATAGTGAATCATTTTCGCCTTTAGTCTCAACTAGTTTATGGGGTTGTTATGGTCTCTGAGTTCGTGCCAGGCCACCCAGAACAAATTGACCTGTGTCATCGACTAATCACCCAAAGGGACAAATTTATCAGGTTCTGTAGTGTGTCCTCAAGCTGCAAGGGGCCTGATTAGCCAACTGAAAATATGCCTATCTGATGTTTAAACTGAAGCATTATTTTCGTCTGTTAACTTCGCCGTACAATGATATGTTTTGTTTCTTCTAAGTGCCATGGTATTTATTCATAGAAAATTTCGTGTGCCATGTAGTAACGGAAAATTGTTGGATAGTATTATTTCTACCAGGGAAATGAGGTTTTAATTAGGTGGCAATTTAGACTGGGATTGACTGTGAATCTATAAATAGATGGCATTTTCACGAGGAAGGCTATTTATGTATTGCACTGGCGGAACATTTGATGAGTGTACAAATGAACTATCCCTGCAAAAAGTGTAGTAACACTCCAGAACCCTTCAAAGTGGAGCTCATAGCCGTGTGTTGGAAAGAAAGAAAAAAAAGTTCAAGAGAGAAATACAAAAAGTTAAAAGTATAAGATTATGAAATTAAATGTTGTGAGACTAATTTTTATAAAATCAAACCAAACTGTATACAGTCAAAGGAATTTAAGTTCACTTCAATTATTTAGGGCAAATTTACAGTTATATTCTTGTTCCAGTCATGCCATTATTATTGCCTGTGACTCATTCTTTTGAACATAATTTAATGGCAGATGCCTGTCCTTTGGTTTTAACAATTGTTCTAAATAATTGGGAATCAAGTCTTTTATGTAAAACTTTATAACGGCTTGGACATTTAAGCTAAATAAATGAGTTTTAGTTAAAAAAATTCACTGTCTTCATGGAATTTGCGTTATTATGTGAAGGATAGACATAAGTAATACACGTGTTAAATAAGTAAACTACAGTAAATATTGAATTGTATGCTGTGGAAAAACTTTAGGCTGAGGAAAGCAGGAGTTCAAGGAAGAAATAGTAATTGATTTTAAGTAAGGTTGTTAAGCTAGATCTCATCTAGAAGATAATATTTGAGCAAAGACTTGAAGATGAGAACTCTGTGTGTGTTTGTGTGTGTGTGGTGTATACACATTCCTGGCAGAGGTAAATGATAATACAAAGACACCGAGATGGGAACATTTCTGGTGTGTTGAAAGACAGCAACAATAGCTGAATCAGGGGTGGAAGATGTGGTTCCAGAGGTAACAAAGAAATAGATCATGTCCAGCCCTAGAGGCCCTAGAGCCAATGCAATGATTTTGGCTTTTGTTCTGAGGAAAATAGAAGCCATTGTAGGCTTTTGAGCAGAGGACCAGCATCATATGACTTGAGTTTTCAAGTGACTTCTCTGGTATAAGTGGAATAGAGTCTAGTCAGGAGGCTGTTCTACTGAATTATTGAGGACTGTAAAGTGGTGAGAAGTAGTTGTATTCCAGGTGTGTTTTGATTGTGGAGCCAACAGTATTTCCTGACACTTCTCACAGTTGGTCAGAAGTGTGGAATTTATTAATTTTAGATCAATGTTAACTAATTAGCAAGAAAAGAATTAATTATTTGGTAGACATCATTACTGTATTCATCTTTCCTCTGCTCTGTGAGCTTTGTGAGGAAAGTGACCATTTCTTGTTTTGACATATATCCTTGTAGTACCTTGGACAGTTACTTCTGCACTTGGTGATTGCTTGTAGTGTTTATTAAACTGGATATTTTTGACTATTTATAGAATCACAGTTTTATATTTAGAAATATTTTGATAGTTGATCGTGATAACTACTAAAATTTTTATTCAATTGACTGTGAAACATTTTGTAATAGTTTTAAATTCAATTAAATTTTTTACAGCAACCAAGACAGGAAAAAAATGAAGAAAGTGAATTTGATTGGACCATTAACATTGGTAAGCTGTAAAATATTAAATGTGAATACTTTGTCCCTTTATCAAATTTGGTGTCTTGAAACAATAGCTATAAAGCAAATCCTTCAAGAAGATCTATAGGCAGTGATAGATTTTCTTATTGCCGCTGTTGTCCCTTAGTTTGGCTCATCATAGTCAATGGCCCACATTCTCAAGATGGATGATAGAAGAGATTGGCTGTGAAGCAGAGCAGAGCTCACTAGCTTACAGGGATATTGAAAACAGGGTTTGTATTTGTAGCACATAAAAACCAACTAATTTCATGAGAATGAATTTCTGCATTTGTTTTACAAAAAGCACCAAATTTGGCTTAAAGTAAAATTGCATATAAAGAATGTTGAGTAACATAGAAAAATTAAAATAATTAAGAAATCTGTGTACACAGTTGGCTTCCAGGAAATTTTATTAAATATGGGATAACTTTTAAGGATTCAGATTATGTTTAAGACAATTCTTAGTGATTTCCTACTGGCACAAGATAAGACAACATATTTTTGGAAGAAAGTTAATGTGTTTTTCATTTGTAATATGTCTCAGGGAGGTGACTCAACAAAGTATTTGCCCACTTTTGGTACATATAATATGTTTCAAACTCTAACAGACAATTTTTTTTTTTATAGAGGCATGTTTTTTTTTATTTATTTGTTTGTTTGTTTGTTTTGTTTATACATGCACTGGGTACAGTCAGAAGCGCGGGAGGGTGAAAGAATTCACCAGAGCCAGAGTAGGGAGCAGAGCAGACAGAAGGACCGAAGTACACTGCTGAGGGGAGCAGCGGGCGGCAGGAGAGGTCTGCGCGCCATGTGGGACCCTCCTCCGGTGGCCGGGGAGCAGCTGGGGTTCGAACCGGCGCCACAGAGGCCGCGGGCAGCTTCGCAACCCAGCGCTCTACCGCTGCACCACCTGGGAGGCCCTAACAGACAATTTTTGATTGCAAAGAAGTTGGTATTAAATGACATGTCAGCTGAAAACTCCAACTGAATAAGTAAAAGATGAAAGGACACCAAAACATCTTCAGTCCCAAATATTGCTACACACTTGTTACCACAAAGCCCCATTCATTCTCTTCTTTCTTATTCTTGTGGTGTTTTTGTCTAAAAATCTCAGTAAGAGTACATTTTTCTAAAGTAAAACTTTGTGCCTTAGAAAATAAATTGTAAAATTAAACCTGATTTTAAAGCACAGATTTTAAATCTGTCCCCTATAGAAAACAAAATACCATAAACCTTGAGGTATACACATAAAATGTTATTGAAATTTAAAAGCTAAAATTTAAATTAAATTTGAATGTATTCTTTTTCAATCTTTGAATAAAATTTTTGTCCTAAAAGAGATTCAGGACAAAACTCTGTTTTAACAAAATTAGAAATGTATTTTTTTGAATGACATTTAACATTTTTTAAAAAGATTTATTTATTTATACAAGAACTAGGGTACAGGCCAGATGTGTGGGAGGGTGAGAGGATTCACCAGAGACAGAGCCGGGAACAGAACAGGCAGAGTGAATGAAATACATTGCTGAGGGGAGCAGCAGGCAAGACAGAAGAGGTCCGCCCCGCCATGTGGGTTGTTCCACCACCAGCGGGGATTGAACCAGCACTGCAGAGGCTGGGGCCAGCTTCACAACGCTGCGTTCAACCACCTGTGCCACCAGGGAGGCCCAAAAAATATTTTTTTAATTGATGAAAACAAATCTAGTTTTACTAGGATGTTGCTGTGAAATTCACATAAATTAAAATTCCTGCTTACAGGCAATAAAATTTAATTAATATGAAAAGCATTTAAAATATTCTTTGATTTCATATAAATGCTCAGTAAAGAGAGCATCATGTAACAACCTGAACCTGTGCTTGTAACAATGACTGGTAGACCCAAATGTTTTATCTCCCCTCCCCAAGAGCCTCTAAAATGAACCTTGGGAAAGCCAATCCTTTTGTAACAATTTTAAGGACCATCCCATTTACTCTTGACCTAACCTGCTCCCCTTGTTCAGTTCCTTGCTACACCTGGCTTCTGATTAGTCTCTTTGAGCATTCTTGCTTGCCCTAATTGTTTGATGATGAAATTTGGCCTCCCCAGACTGAATTTCTGGAACACTGAGAACACTGTGAATGCAGTCATTCCCTCCCCTCTATATGCTTTTGACCTCAGGCTGCCTAGGCATATTGAGCCTATCTAACTCAGCTTCAACATTCAAGGACTATATTCTACCAACCATAATTTATCGTTTATTCTCTGATGACTAGTCTTTGCCTCCCAAACAGAAGGTGGAGTTGGGGAAGTAGGTAGAGAGAAAATGTTATAAAGAAAGGAACAATGCAAGGAACAGAGAAGAAGGTAGAGAAATGGAAAATCAAGAAAAGTCTGGAAGGCAGGGAAGGAGAGAAGAAACAAAGAAAGAGCACCATGGAATGTTCTATCTAAAATGGGGAGAAATTAGAGGGAATGAAAAAAGATAATGAGGGACAATCTTTGGAGTATTATGACACTAATCAACTGGTTAGTTCTTGGGTGTTGTACACTTCACTGTAACAACCGGCATCACCCCTCCCCGCTGTATCTAGGACCAAGTTCAAGATCCATGGTTGGCCCATCAAGCTTTAATATCTTTCTTTAATATCATCTCCTACATTTTATACTGTATATTTTAGGAATTTTGCTGCATGGAATCACCTGAGCACTCTAGGCAATTTTGAATCACCTTGCTATTCTAAGTCTGAACATCTCTACTTCCTCATCATTCCCCAGTCTTAGTCATATAATCCTTCCATTCGTACACACTTACTAACACTCAAGATTCTGCAAAAAGCACAATCTCCATGTGCAAGACTTTCCTAAAGTACTGTCTTGGCACTCCATGATACTTGTTATCTGCAGAGCTGCCTTCTAAAAGCTATAAACTTCTAAAACGAATGTTAACCTCAAAACTCAGAGAATTGGTTTCTCCCCCTCCTCCATTTATAATTTTTCCTCTGAAATTTTCTGTAGGAGGGCGTCCCTGGTGGCCTGGGGGCTAAGACTCAGTGCTACCACCTTGATGGCCTTCCTGCAGCAAAACTGCGTGAGTTCATCCCTGGCCAGGAGCTAACCCACATGGCGCAGCAGACCTTTCCTGTTTCACCCATTGCTCCCCTTAGCAGTGGAGCAGAACAGTGGACCTGCCTGTTCTGCTCCCTATTCTGTCTCTGATGAAGCCTCTAATCTCTCCACACCTCTGGCCTACACTCCAATTCTTCTATTCCAAAATAAAAATAAAATGAAAATCTTACAATAAAGAAATAATTCTTGAAAAGAAAAGAAAATTTCAAGAATGCAGTAAGTGTGTGTGCATGCACATGTGGATATGCAATTAATGTGTCTAACCCAGCTTTTCTTAGCTATTTAGGAGCTCTGAAGATTAATATTTCTTAATGGAACCAAATCTTTATCTCTTTTGATTATATTGCAATCATTCAACCAAATTAGATACTGGCCAAATAGAATTAGATTGATTTCTTCACAGAATACAAAATAAATTTGTATCAACATTTTCTTTGAGGGCCTCCTGGATGGCGCAGCAGGTTGGGCGCAGCGGGTTGGACGCAGCGCTGTGAAACTGTCCACAGCCTCCGCGGTGCCCATTCGATTCCCGCCTGGCCAGGGGAGATTCCCACGTAGCACAGCAGACCTCTCCTGTCTCTCCATCTGCTTCCCTCAGCAGTGTATTTCGGTCCTTCTGCTTGTTCTGCTCCCCGCTCTGTCTCTGGTGGAGTCTCTCACCCTCTGGCGCCTCTGGCCTGTACCCCAACTCTTGTATAAATAAATAAATCTTGAAAAAATTTTTTTTCTTTGATCCCTGAAACAGTTATTTGTACCAGTTACCTTAAATACAAATCCAACATGCATGTAATTGTGGTAAAAGAGAAATGCTATTCCATAAATATGATTTCATTTCCTTTTTTCCAGTTTCGGTACTCTGATTGGCAGGATAAATTATTTATGTCACTGGGCACTATCATGGCCATAGCGCACGGATCAGGTCTCCCCCTCTTGATGATCGTATTTGGAGAAATGACTGACAGATTTGTTAATACTGCAGGAAACTTCTCCTTGCCAGGTAAGCATTTTTTCTACTTAAAAAAATACATAGTACTCCAACTGAGTGAAAAGTAGAAATTAATTTTGCTAGTCATCATCTACTTGTTAATGATTTGACATCCCAGATATCACAGGAGTTGTTAAATTCTCAGAAAATTCCCCAAAACTTATTTAAATTTCAAGAAACATATGTACTCTATTTGACTCTTGAGGAAATATACGGAAAGCTTTCTATCTAAATAAAGTAAAGAAGTCATTCTGCTTGAGGACTGTATACAGATTGGACATTAGTGATTAATGATGAGTTTCAAAATATGTCAGTTAGCAATAATAGTAAGTAGTACTTCTTAGCTGTTCTCAGCTTACAGACCCATTTCAAAAGAGAAAATAGAAGACCAGAAATTTTCTCTCCTTACTCTTTTTGGTTATGCCCATTTTCTATCTAATTTTTGGATCAACCAGGCTGACTAGAAATTGATTGAATAATCCACTAAAGAGTGCATGAATTCAATATGAGAATGATATGTTTTGAAGCTCACCCAAAGGACTATAAGTTACTGAAAAATCACAGGAGTCATATAAGTTAATGTCATTTATAAGATGGGATGTAGCAAAAGCATTAAAGTGAGATTCCATGGGACATAGTTATTTTCATATTAGCCAAATTGGACACAGAGAAAATTTCTATGCTTTGTACTAAGCCTGGGCATTAGACTGGAGAACACTGAGTGAAGCTTTATTGGTACACAGGTAGTAGAACATGAGAAAGAACAATCTGATATATGAAAAGTGGCTTTCATAGCAAAGATACCTGGGAAATAGTTGACTCTATCAATTAGATAACATTTAGTAAGATTTCTCAGTGTTTGCTAACTTAAAACCACATATTTGATTAGCATTGTAAGACTTAACTATAATTACCTAAGAGAATGTGATTTCTTGATTTATACAATAGGATCTGCTAGCATTCAGATCAACAGATAGGTATTCTAGAAATCCAATAAAAAGAATCCTTTGAATAGTGAAAGCAAGCACCCACAAAAATAAGATGTATTTATTTATTCTTAAGTACTATTATCTCTGAGAAGATCCTTTTTATAATAAGAATGAAACAGTAATAGTAAATCTTCATTGTATTTATAATGCACTAGATCTTATTTCACTCACAAGAACAATCCTACACAGAAGATAATATTGTCCTCTGTGACATAATAGGACACTGAGCACTGATATGTCCTTAGGGACATATAACAAGGATAAATGACCTGTACAAAGTTATATAGTTGGTGAGTTTTAGGATAGAATTCAAACCCAGGTCTTTTTTGCTACTCAAGTCATGTTCAATACTGTACACACTATACTTCCAACTTAAATAATTATGTTTTCTCTTAAAAAGGTATTTGGAAATTTCTAAATGGATCACTTATATTTGTTCAGTAGCCAAAATTTTAACACAAACACCATATAGGTAAAATCAGGGTAAGATAGGGAGGTTTAAAATCTTTAAGGAAGTGAGGAATAGGAATTTTCTGTTTGTTCTTATAAGATCTATAGATTTCTCACACAGACACACACACACACACACACACACACACACATATGTCCATTATCCTACACATATGTCCATTATCCTACATATTGGTATTTATATACCTTAATTAGGATATGTGCATATTCAGAAACATCAATCAAAAATTTGTTTTAATTAAGGGTAAAAAATCAGACTAACTGATGAATGGGTAAACAAAATGCAGTATATACAAAACAGTGGAATATTATTCAGCCTTTAAAAGGAAAGAAATTCTGAAATATGTTACATATTCTACAAGGTAGATGAATCTTGAAGGCATTATGCTAATGAAATGCTAATCACAAAAATACAAAGTTGTATGCTTCCACTTATATGAGGTGTCTATAGTAGCCAAATTCAGAGAAATAAAAAGTAGAATTGTGGTTGCTAGGGCCCATGGGAAGGAAGAAAGGAGAATTGTTTTAAAATAGAATCTTCTCACTCCACGTACCTCTGACCTATAACCCAGTTCTACACAAAATTTTTTTTTAAAAGTTAAATAGGCATAGCACTTAAGTTTTATAAGATGAAAAAGTTCTGGAGATTAGTTGTACAACAATATGAATATAATTAACACTACTAATGATACAGTTAAAATGGTTAAGGTGGTAAATTTTATGTTATATTTATTTTATCACAAATTTTAAAAAATCACATTAAAACAACGCATCACTTTTATCACAGATGAGTTAGCATTTGGACCAGTGTAATTAGTCCTGTTTTGTTTTTTCTAACACTAAAATATCTCTACAACTTTCTTATTTGGGTCAGTTTGCTTTGTTTTTTTTACTTGTTTCTAATTATGCAACTGAATAGCTTTGAAGCTGGGCATGGCAGACAGGTGCCATGTGCTGTGCCAGGGGCTAAATTCAAGGTCTCTCTGTGGAATGGCATGAGTAAGTATTTAGAGACCTGTGATTGTTGGAGTGATAAACTCACCAGCACTGCCAACTTAGCTTAGTAACCTCCAAGCTTAGTAACCTCCAAATTATATGACCCTTGGTCCTCTATAGCCATGTTCATTAGGTATATTGTCTGTTTTGGAGGATTTGGAATGGTTTCTCAAATATTTTGAATTTCCAATATCCACTACTTGGTAGTTTGTAAAAATAATATTCTCATACTTTTTTGGGAAAATGAATGTTTGAAGGATACTCACTGTAAACCCAGAAAACTCACTGATATGTTTAGAGTTGTAGAATTTAGCAAGTCAGGAGATTGAGAGAAGATAGCTAGCTAGTTGGTTGTCCTTTACAGAACTTGCTAGCTCATCTCAGAGATGTTTATTAGAGTCTGTTCTTTAAAATGTTGGACTCTTGGATAGCTAGACAAAGTATGAGCAAAACGAGAAGGGAATGTTAGAAGGAAATAGAGGTTTAATTACAAGGGGTCTGACAATCACTTATTGTGAACAGAGCATGTCCTTGTCAACAGAATAAAACTACTCCATGACAAGGTCATTTCCTCACAATAACTCAGTTGTGCGGAAACTATATTACATCCAAAACCTAAGGACAGAATCTTAGCAAATAGTTTTTCTGCAGAATAGCAGGAACTTGATATATCTTATGCCAACTCTAGGTGGCTGTAATAATCTAGGAAATTCTGTGCAGAAATCAATACACCCTGCATGTTCTTGCATTGCCTCAGTGTTAGCTAACTGTCTATACTGTCTAATCAACCTAGACAAATATCAGCTCTTTTGGTGCTGAATATTTCTGTATAATAAAAGAAATCCTAGGCAGAGCCAAGGAAGGAAACATTGATTTACTTTAAGACTCAAAAGTGACAGTCAGGACTCGCTATGCAGTGTCTTATTACAAATCATTAGGGCATATGTTTATTATTTAGGCCTTCACTCACCAGCTAGATGACTGTGGGCAAATTACTTATCCTCTATAATTCTTATTACTGTCATCTTATTACCTCTATAATTCTTATTACTGTCGTCATAGGTTTACCGATGAAACTACGTAAGATGATTTACATACTGTATCTGTAACATAGTAAATGATTAATAATATTAATAGGGAATCCTGATAAATCATTTAATGGGGAAAACTAGTCATAAGAACTTGGAAATGAAACAACCACTTTAAGATTCTGTTTCTGGGCCTCCCCGGTGACGCAGCGGTTGAGTGCTGTGTTGCAAAGCTGCCCGCAGTCTCTGCAGCGCCGGTTCGATAGCCGGCCACCGGTGAGGGGCCCACATGGCGTGCAGACCTCTCCTGCCGCCCACTGCTCCCCTCAGCAGTATATTTCGTCAGTCTGCCTGTTCTGTTCCCCGCTCTGGCTCTGGTGAATCCTCTCACCCTCCCGTGGTTCTGACTGTACCCAGTGCTTGTATAAATAAATAAATAAATAAATAAATAAATAAATAAATAAATAAATAAATAAATAAATAAATAAATCTTTAAAAAAAAATTCTGTTTCCTCAGCTATACTATGGATGAATTATATGGGAGCTTTTTAAAATTAATTTTCCATGTCTTATGGGAGGCATTTGGGGGGGACTAAAGTAGAACTTCTCCAACCTGGCACATTAGAATCAACTTGGTATACTTTTTAGAAATATGATGCTCTAAACTCAGCCAGAGGTTCTGACTTAATGGGTTTTGGGCTGAAACTGAACCTGTGTTTTTTCAAATTCCCCATGTGATTATAATAGGCAGTCATTGTTGATAACTCCTGAACCAGACAACCATTTAGAAACGTGTGAGACTGAAGCAAAATAGATAGCACCTCAGTCAGAAAACCAGGTGTAGGCCCTTTCTAGATCTGAAATCCCCTGGAGTTTGTAGACCAAGAATTGCAGATCTAGAGTTCTGTGACTTTTTTTGATCATATCAACTCATATTTGTCTCACCTTTGTCTCCAGGTAGCAGAAACCCTTATTTTCCTGGGGAATCTGGGGCACCTGGGATTACCACCCTAGATATAGATAGCCATTCTCAGTTTGGGATTCTGAGAGAAAAGCAGATCAAACCTGGAATGCTCATAAATTCTTGTTTCCTAGAAAGGGGTGTCAGTCTGAATTGTAATATCCTCATTAAGAGAATTAAAAATTTGAGGTAGGCAAGGTTTCACCTGATTTCTAAGTTCAGGAGAAAAAAAAAACACCCTATAATAAATATGTGTAGGTTTCCCAAGATTTTGAACAATGATTTCAACAAATACCAGTTTGAGATTAGTTTGTCTACCTTTAATACAAACACAGTTCCTGTTTGGATATCAAAGATACCATATTCCTTAGGTCCTTTTGGAAGAAGGTAAAGAGAATATACACAGCACCCAGAAAACATACCCCTGGATTATTTACAGATGACAAAGGAACAAAGATTAGTTTCTCTCCTAGCATCATGGTATATGAGAAAGACCTACCTTAGTATTTTTTTCAATAATTCTGTGATAATTTATCTTGCTGTTTTATACTTTCAATAGACATGAGCTGTTTTTTTTTTTTTTTTAAGTTCCTTACTTTTGTGTTTTACAAAAAGTGAAAATAAATCCTATCAATCAGTATATTATAGGATTAGGAACTGTCTAGTAAAATGTTAGGACTTTGTCTACTTACTACCTATGTGACTTTGGGTAAATTTGTTTGTCTCTCTGTGAGGATTGTATAAATGGGATATGATAAAACCTGCCTTATAGGTTTGTTGTGAAAATTAAATGAATTAATACATGTAAAGTGTTTAGAACAGTACCTGTATGTAATACATGCCCAATAAATGCTAATTTTTCTTCCTTTGCAGTGTATATAATTCAATCTTATTACTTATGAGGGAACAGATATGTTATCTGTGCATATATAAAACTAAAGTTCACAGATGCAGGAATCTGTACAGTGCTTTTAGCTACTAGGGAAAAAATTGCCCCTTAAATCTTTTTTATTTTTTCCTTTCTATTTGGACCATTTCTTTATCCTTCCTCTGCTTTTTTTATGCTCTTTGGACCTCTTGCCTTTTCTCATCTCCTCTCTGTAGCCTTAGGAAGCTGTTTTGCTAAAGGCCTGAGCCCACTACATTCGGGAAAGAATTGGGAGGGCTCATCCTCCCCATCTGGGCCCTAGATGTCCTATATCTAAACTGTTGGGTTCTTTACTTGAGTAAAGTGAAAAGAGTGCACTTGAGAATGAAAACAAAAGAAAAGCAAAGATTTAAAAATCCTAGCAATGCCTATTAACTGTTCAGCCTTTAAAAAAAACCTAATTTTTGTTTTGTTTTGTTTTTATTTAGTGAATTTTTCATTGTCTATGTTAAATCCAGGCAGAATTCTGGAAGAAGAAATGACTAGGTAATTGGCCTATCTATATATCTTTCTATCTATGGTCTATCTATGGAATGCTTTTTAGAATGTTTTATTTGAAAATAATTTTAAACTTACAGAAAATTATAAGAATAATACAGAGAATACCTGTGTACTCTTTACTGAGATTGACCTACTTTTATCATTTATTTTCTGCCTCCATCATTTAAAATAAGTTGTCTGTATCATGGCCTTTACTCACAAGTATTCCAGTGTGATTTCTAAGAATAAGGACACAGGTATACCTTGTTTTATTGCACATTGCTTTATTGCTCGAAACAATGCATTTTTTACAGACCCTTCACCTGCAAAAAGATAACTCAGGGAAGACTCAGGTGATGATTATCAAATTTTTTAGTAATAAAGTGTTTTTAAATTAAGGTGTGTAGATTTTTTTAGACATAATGCTATTGCATCTTACCGACTATAAGGTAAATGTAATTTTTATATGTACCAAGAAATAAAATCTTTGTGTCAGTTCTTTTATTATGATATTCACTTTATCATGGTGGTCTGGAGCCAAACCTAATGTATTTTTTTATGTATTCCTATATTCTTTTCATAAGCACAGTTATCAACTTCAGTGAATTTAATATTGATATAATACTTCCCCATCTGTATTCCAATTTTGTCAGCAAATCCAATAGTGTCATTTATAGCATTTCTACCTATTCCTTCAACCCTATTAATATAAATCTCAAAAACCTGTAACATAATGTGTGGATATCAATTAATGTTGCTGATTTAAATGTGTACCACCTATATATATAGGCATAAAAGACTTTTATCTGGAAACAGTTTGTAAAACTATATTTAAAAATTTTGAAAATATTGAAACCACATCTTTTATGTTTAAAGATGCTAACTTTCCTCTAATTAAATTAAGGCTTTATTCTACATTTGCTTGAATTCATGACATGTGAGTATACTATTTGAAAAAAAAAATTAAATTCTGCCAAGTAGGAGAAATTTATTTTGGTTCTTTGTAGAAACAATATGGGAAAACTTACCCTAAGAACAATTTCAGGGCCTCCCCGGTGGCGCAGCGGTTGAGCGCTGGGTTGTGAAGCTGCCCGCAGCCTCTGCAGCGCCGGTTCAATCCCCGGCTGCTCCCCGGCCACCAGAGGAGGGTCCCACATGGCGCACAGACCTCTCCTGCCGCCCGCTGCTCCCCTCAGCAGTGTACTTTGGTCCTTCTGCCTGCTCTGCTCCCCACTCTGGCTCTGGTGAATTCTCTCACCCTCCCGTGCTTCTGACTGTACCCAGTGCTTGTATAAATAAATAAATAAATCTTAAAAAAAAAAAAAAAAAAAAGAACAATTTCACATGCTCAATCTATTTATGCCTATATTTGTCTTATGTGAACAGTAGTAAACTTTTTCAGTAAGATAAGCAAGTTTAGGCTATTAATTATGTAGGGAGTCAAATTATATCTACATATTCTCAATATCAGTTAAAAATAACTTCTCAACATCAACATTTTTTTGCAGTTAACCATGAACATTAATCTACTTTCTGCAACTGATAATTCAAGTAAATAGATTTTCCATTGAAATTTTATAATTTAAGAAAAGAGAAAAAATTCATGTGTATTTGTTATTGCCCATGGTCTTTATGATCAGATCAATAAACTTATAATTCCTAATTCTGAAATTTCTCCTGAAAGAGATGAATAATGGACAGTATTTTAAAAAACCTTTCTATTTATTTTCCAGATATGCATATTATTACTCAGGATTAGGTGCTGGAGTCCTCATAGCTGCCTATATACAAGTTTCATTTTGGACTTTGGCAGCTGGCCGACAGATAAAGAAAATTAGGCAAGAGTTTTTTCATGCTATTCTACGACAAGAAATAGGCTGGTTTGACATCAACGACACCACTGAACTTAATACACGGCTAACAGAGTGAGTATATTGTTAATGTCACCCTTTCATAAAGAAATTAACCATTAACTGTGGAAATGTGTCAAGGAAAGACATAAAATGAACAAGTAGTGACTAGATTAAACATTGGATATATAGGAGGATTAGATATCTGACTGCCATTTCTAGGATCATTTGCACCTTATGCCGTAGTGTAGTTTTCTTACCTGTTAGTTTTTTCTCCTCTGTTATATAGTGAACTTATTTCAGGACTGAGTCCATATTTTATACTCACTTGACTCTCATGGAACTAATTAAGGGCATGACAGATATTATATTTTCAATTAATATAGTTGAGTGGATGAATAAATAATTGAATGAATTCACCAAGAGTCTTATCTTTGTAATTACTGACTCCACTTATTCAATGAATAGTTGAGGGCCAATTATATGGCAAGCACTGTTCTAGATGTTTCTGGTATACAAGTGAACAAGACAAGAGATTTCAATCCCTTAGTTGCTGTCTTGCCAGCAGGGGGAGATAGATGATAGATTTTTTCCTTTTTGGAGTGCTGGTAAGAGGATAGTGAGCAGATGAAGTCAAAAAGGAGGAAAATCAAAGAATATAGGGCCTGATTGGCCTCATTTAGGAGTTCAGCTTTTACTCTAAGTGAAATGGGCACCATTTCTTATCTGAGTAAGAGCATGTTCAGATTTCCATTTTCAAAGAATCACATTGGTTGCTGCATTGAGGATAAAGTGAGCTGAGAATTAGAGCCACGGGGTGTTACAGTACCCTTCCTGATGCCTGCTTTTTAAATAAGTCAACTCGTGTTCAGAATGTGAATGTTTCTCTAATAGGATTAACTAATTTAATAGTATCAACTTTAATATTAACTTCTTAGAAGCACAAACTAATCCTGAATTTCTTCCTTTGTATAATATTTAGGTGGGGAAAGTATCATTCAAGAGGCTAAGACTCTGAAAGAGGCTTTCAGTAGTATGAACCAGTTTTATCTGTCTTTGTGTTTGTTAGATGTCTGTCATCTTTCTAACTGAAGACCTCCTGCCTGTAACCATTTAGGTGTGATCTTTTTTTAGTGACATCTCCAAAATCAGTGAAGGAATTGGTGACAAGGTTGGAATGTTCTTTCAAGCAGTAGCCACGTTTTTTGCAGGATTCATAGTGGGGTTCATCAGAGGATGGAAGCTCACTCTTGTGATAATGGCCATCAGCCCTATTCTGGGACTTTCAGCAGCTATTTGGGCAAAGGTAGGTGGAACTTCGACATTTTCATGTGTGTTAACCTACACATACAGACTTGTTTTTAATATGTAGTATTTGGATATTTGTATTTGTGCTGTTACATGTCACTGGAAACCATATCTGGAAATATGTTGTTATTACGGGCTTTAGTAAGGAAGTTTATTTTTAATGTGATTCAAAATGTAACAGTCACTAACTCACCTGTAATTTAAATTAGTTTAAATTAATAGACAATTATGACCTTATTTAAGGAAATATAACTTTATAACATCTCTTGAAGCTATTGCATGAATATAAAAAATAAAGTTTGAATTTCCATTTATTTTTAATTGTTACTTATAACAGTTAAATGGCATTCTGCCTACTTTTTCTTGGAATAAAAAATATAACCTTTCTTCTTAAGCCAACATTGCAGAGTTGAGAAATTTTACTGGTGCTTTTGCTCATTCTATGGTTGATGATTTACGAAGTGAACTATCTCAGGCTCTTTTGTTTTGATTCTTCCTTTATCTTTTTCCTACAACATTTTGTGTTAACCATATTATTATTTGAGAATGCTCATAAGTGGATTTGGATATATTGTTTTCATAGTAATTAAAGATTATGAGAGAATAAAAGAAAGGATAGTGACTTATTTCATAGCTTTCTTTTACTTTATTTTTCAGTTAGCAGAGAAAATATAGATGTGGAGCTTTACATTATTCCCCTAAATGCCATTTAGAGAATTATGTGTGGATTTCCTTTAGAATATTCCTGGGGAGCATATCAACAGGGTGAATAAGATCTTGCCTTGTAGGGGTTGATAACAGACTTTGAGTCTAGTATATTGAAGATTTTTTTGCTTCATGACTTCAGTGTTTGGCAAAAGATAGGGCTTATGAAGAAAAAGTAGGGAGAAGAGTTGACTAGACTGTTTTTTACTTTTCTTCCCTTACAAAAGTCATAAATGTTTCTCTTCTGTCTAGATTCTCTCTGCATTTAGTGACAAAGAACTAGCTGCATATGCAAAAGCAGGTGCCGTGGCAGAAGAGGCTCTGGGAGCCATCAGGACGGTGATAGCTTTTGGGGGCCAGAACAAAGAGCTGGAAAGGTCAGGAAGGTTCTTTGTCCATTGGTTCAAAGAACCCACTTTTACATTTTATTTTGTGGTGTGTGTTTATTAGTTTACTTTCCCTCACATTAACCCTTTCCCCGCAACTTCATGTCAGACTCTAAAGCAGGGTTTTTACCCTTTTGTGTTCTGTGGACTCCTTTGGCAGTCTGATGAAGCCTACTGAGTCCTTCTTAGAATCATGATTCTAAATATATAAACCAAAATACATAGAATTACCAAGGAAACCATTTCTATTGAAGTATATTTACCTAAATATTTTTAAATCATGATAATGTAAATATGTGCCTCTATTGTTAATATATTTAGTAATAAGAACTAACTACTGGTCTAATAACTATTACTATAATTCCCAAGTAGGCTTGTTGGCAAAAGATATTTCAAGATATCTGTAACAATTGTAACATGATGTGAAAATGATCTGGTATTTTTGTTGGTGACAAAGTCACAATTACTGCTAATAATAAGCAGTTTGTTGCCTTCATTGATAATGGAAAGAAATACTAAATTTCAGCCAGAGGTTAATAAAAATAAATACATATTTTTTTCCCCACTTAAGTTCCTTGACCATAGTTCCCAGGGCAAGTCCCTGATCTCAAGGAACTTGATGTGCAAAAACTTAGATGCCAGGACAAAGCCCACTGATAAAGGCTACTCTGTTCTACATAAATGCCCCCACCAGTTTTGTTTAAATAATAATATCCCCTAATATAGCTAAGATATGATTTCATGTATTTTCTTTGCCTCATCTATAGGACTCTTGAAACCACAACTCTTTGAAATAGATATTCTCTGGAAATTCTCCAGCATTAAAAGCAAAGATTCCTGAATTCCCTCCATTTCATTTTCTATTTTTCTATTTCTTAAGCCCTCTCAAAACCAACATGTTACTGGTTTTCTAACCTCTTCCTTTTTTCTCTCTCACTGCTGCTTCCTGTACACAATAGTCCACACAGACCACACTAACCCTCAGTTGGACCTCAGGATGTCAGTGTAATCAGTGCCGCTCCATTAGCTGCAGTAAGCGAGCCGCCTAAGCAAAGGTAATTACAGCATGTCCACCACTGTCACCGGAGCCTTGTGTCACATTGGGGCAGACATTAATCTCCCTGCACACGCCTTGAAACCCAGCCACTTGGGAGTAATCACAGTGCTGGACGTGGCATGCTGGCTGTCTCCCCAGAGACACAGCTCTGCTAAATGAATGCAGCGCCCAACACTGAGAGGACACTGAAGAGTTGGGTGCTTTCAGTAATTAAAAAGATAAACTTTTGGTGGCAGCATACATTTTTTAAAAAATGAAGAAATTCCCAACATCTCATTGGTTAAACTAAAAAATATGATGTTGTTGGGTATTTTGTTTTTGGTTAGAAACAGAAACTCCTTATTTGTACAATATTTTCCCCCAAAGTCTCATGATATACCCATTGTATTTTTTTTCCCAAACAAACAATTGTTTTCCCAAACAATTTACAAATTCCTGCATCTAGCTTGGAAAAGTGGATTTAATATAAATTTATGTAAAAATATTCTAATTTAACAGAACCATTTGAGACATGTGCCTTTATGACAGAAGCCAGTAATATGAATATTAATTACTATTCAAAATACAATAGTCAAATAAGCAATATTCAAAATTATTAAATTCTAAAACAGTAACACTAATAATAATATCACTAGGAATTATCAGATCTTACCAACTATATGCCAGCACTCTACTAACTACTTTCTATAATTATCTGTCAAACTCACAATTATGTTGCAAGGTAGGCATTAACTCCATTTTACAGTTGATGAAACTGAAATCTAGAAAAATTGAGTAAGAACCTATATCTCATAGGTAGTGACTTTATAACCTTAAACCCTGGTTTTACAATTGAAGGACAGCCTGCTCCAAAAATAAATACATAAATAAAAGGCAAAGGTCCAGGTTTTAGTATCTGTAAGACTCCTAGTCCCTCATCCAGTGGGGCATTAAAGGACATATTTTCTCTTCTCTAGAAATGAGAAATTGAGCTATGAATCTAATTGTTTTAAGAGTCCAAAATATTATTTACATTTGGTTGCCATTCTCGGTTGGCTTTGTTTATCTCCCACCTTAACCTTCACCCATAATTTTGGCTATGAAGGTGATGGCAAACCTCTTCCATATCCCCAGGGGTGAGAGTTTACCCTGGAAGAGATATGGGAACATTGGTTGGACTGGTAGGGACCAGGGGAGATGGGTCCCAGCCAGTAAAGAGAAGGGTCAGATGTATTCTAGTCCTTGCAGATCCTGAATTTGTTTAGTTCCCAGGAAGCTGGGTCTCAACTGGGGTTTCTTATCTTGATGACTTTGTTCCTCAAGTTTCCAATAATACAGGAGTTGAGTAAGGCTCATATAATGGATTATTTTCTTATTATAACACTTCCCCTTCATTTTCTGATAGGTACCAGAAGCATTTAGAAAATGCCAAAAAGATTGGAATTAAAAAAGCTATTTCAGCAAACATTTCCATGGGCATTGCCTTCCTATTAATATATGCATCGTATGCACTGGCCTTCTGGTATGGATCCACTCTAGTTATATCAAAAGAGTACACTATTGGAAATGCAATGACAGTAAGTAATTTTCTTAATATTTATGAAAAATCTGAAAATGTTATCCACCCATCCATTCTTTTCTTTCATATCTTTTTTTTTTTTTCAAGGATAAACCATGACTAGAGGCTTTTTTTTTTTTTTTTTCTCCCTTGGTAACTCTTTGCTCTGTCCCGTGGGCAAAACTGGCTTTCTAGAATATACATGACATAATTGTGAGTGGGTGAAAGAAAATAGCCTGTAATTATGTCAGCTGAGAAACATATACAACTTATAAAAAGAAACAGTTTACTAATGAGCAAAATGGGCTGAAGCCATTTCTGCTGTGGAATTTCAATATATAAGAGAAAATATTATTATATATAGTTCATAATATGAGAGAAATTTTAAATTTATATAATATAAACATTAGCTTTCTGAAATACAAGATAAAAAGTTATTTTAGTTTTTCTTCTTCAAAACAAAAACCTTTATGACTCTAAAAATAATACATGTGGGTTATACAAAGGAATAGAATATGGAATTTTAAAAATTAGAATTATTTATAATCTGGTAATCCATATGCCCTTAATAATATTTTTTGGTATATAATATATATATATATATATCTTCCAGATCATTTTCTATGTCTATACACGTTTTTCTCTCAAAACTCACATCATATTTTGCATACCTTTTTCTTATGTTTTTATTAACAAGCACTATTTGTCACCACACTGTCAGAACAACAGTAACCATTCAAATAGAAATCTTTTTTTTTAAAGATTTATTTATTTATACATACATAAGCTAGGGTACAGGCCAGAGATGCAGGGGGTGAGAGGATTCACCAGAAACAGAGTGGGGAACAGAACAGGCAGACCGACTGAAATATGTTGCTGAGGGGAGCAGCAGGTGAGACAGGAGAGGTCTGCTGTGCCATGTGGGTTGCTCCCTGGCCGGCCGGGGATCAAACTTGTGCTGCAGAGGCTGTGGATCGCTTCATAGTGTGGTGCTTAACCCCTTGTGCCTCTAGGGAAGCCCCTCAAATAGAAATTTTTGAAGACCTGAACTTTTCTATCTTTCTAAATAGAGCATACTGCATATAATTTGCATCTTTGATGATGAGTTGGTATCATCATGAAAATTAATTATTTCAAAATGTTTTCTATAGTGGTGTCTTCAGACTCCATTGAATTGTTGAGGACTCTTTGGATGAGTTTTCATAATTGCTGAATCTTTTTTTCCCCCCACCTTTTGGGTTCCTCTCTGGTATCAGCTTGGAAGCTCTCCATTTCTCTTCACTCTGCCCTTTGCTATTGAAATCATTAGGAAAGGATTTGAATCCTGATTTTGCCATGCACTTTTTGTTATGAGGTTGTCCTCTTTGGCCTGGTTTCCTCATTTGCTGTATGTGGACAGTAACATCTTTCTAGTAGGACTGAAGAGTGTATCCATGATGCAGGAAGCCCAAAAAACACTCTCAGAGAGAAGGGCAACAACTCTTGTGTGTGAACTTTAAGCATATACCTTGGTAGGGACTTTCTTGTTTTCTTACTATTACTTATCTGAATTGCAGTGAATAGGTATTTGAGGGATATTGGAATTCTGGGTATGTGAAGTATTATTGTTACTGTTACTGACCTCTAAGAAATTTCACCATGCCCAGAAAGTAATTTCTCTTCATTTATGTTTTGTTCAGTTAAGCCAGTAATCTGGATTCCAGAAACTATGTTTTTGACTTTTCTATATGAATTAATGTTCTTAGTGAAAGAAATATATGAAGGAAAAATGTGTTAAGCCCTCGTGCTGTAGTAAAGGTCAGTTGTGTGACGGAAAAACTAATCAGTACACAAAGGTATGATTTAGTGTTTTATAAAGTGTGAACTGTTACCTTTTTTTTTTTTTAAAGATTTATTTATTTATTTATGCAAGCACTGGGTACAGTCAGAAGCACAGGAGGGTGAGAGAATTCACCAGAGCCAGAGCAGGGAACAGAACAGACAGACCAACGAAATACACTGCTGAGGGGAGCAGCGGGCGTGGCAGGAGAGGTCTGTCATGCCATGTGGACCCTCACCCTGTGGCTGGGGATTGAACCTGTGCTACAGAGGCTGCGGGCAGCTTCGCAACCCAGCGCTCAACCGCTGCGCCACTGGGGATGCCCTGAACTGTTACTTTTTATGTTAAATTTTTGTAATATTATATATATTTAAAGGAATATTCCATAGGGCTGAAATTTACAGTGTTTGATTTTGAAACTTTATGCAATGCTCTTCATAGAGAAAAACATACAGGGTAAATAATAACACTGATGGAAAATGTTTCTCTCTGGTCACATCAACTGTAAAATCAAGGATATAGATTTGAAAACTTTTCTGACAGTGTATTTTCAGAAGAACAATAGATAGTTTGGAAAGGTGGACAAAAAATATCTTTAAGGTTGTGCAAACCATTCATGTAATAAAATGTTATATGAAGCTTACAAATTTTGCTATATTTTTTAAAGAGGATAAAACTAAATACAATCTTTTGTGTAGGATGTGTCTCAAATTAATCATATTTTACATAATGAACACCTGAATGGAGCATGTAACATTTCCTTATGTTCTTTTGCTAAGGTCTTTTTTTCAATCCTGATTGGAGCTTTCAGTGTTGGACAGGCTGCTCCATGTATTGATGCTTTTGCCAATGCAAGAGGAGCAGCATATGTGATCTTTGATATTATTGATAATGTGAGTAATTTATTATTTTTTGAGTAATTTATTAATGCCCTAAAAACTTTTGAGACTTAATTAACTCTGATTTTAGGTTAAATAGTATGCAAAAATTAGTTATGTGAAATTAGTGATCTCTTCTTAATGATAAATGAAACAAAATGTCCTTATTAATATTTCTAAAAGTTTGTCTTTAAATAATATACCAACTTGTTTCATTTTGGAAAATGCACTAGTGTATTATTATTATAGTCCAGAGAAAAGATGTTTGTCTTCCTAATTTTTCTGATTTTCTCTTTTATTTTGTAGACTGACCATATCGTTGTTTCTATACAGAATGAGTGGGTAGAAAATTTATTGATGGGATAAGAATTGACAGTATTTTTTTCTTTTTGTTATCCTCTTCAACTTCCTCAAAAAAAAAAAAAATCACTGCATGTTTGACATGACTGAATCAACTATATTGAATAAATTTTATGAACTGCAGTGAAGTAGTTTTGACATATTGAAGTATGTCCCTGCATTTACAAAAATGAAATGCCCGGTGAATAACTGAAATGTGGTCATACAATCCTGGCAATTCCTCCTGTTTCACTGATCTAATTCATGAGAAAATTGGTGTTTCTGAACATATTGAAATTTGACATTGTTCCTAAATACCAATGGCTATAATATTTAAGTCAGTTCTCAACCCAATCCATTATCATTTAGGAATAAACTAATTTTCACTAAATGTAGAAATACCTGGCTTTATCAAGTATGGTATATATTGCTAACGTTGTTGTATAAACATAAATGTCTGACCCTTTAGAAAATTAAAAACTTAAAGTGAAATGTTTTATGAAACAAAGTGAATATATCCCTTATGTACTTTTAGGAAAAGCCCATTTTCTAAGAAGGGATATTTCCATAAACAAATACACACACACAATACGCATATTGGGTTCTGTCTCATGTGAGGGAGATTGTACCATTAACATTCCTGTTTTGGATTTGCTGAATCATATTCCTTAAAAATGCAATTGTTTGTCTTATGATGGAATAGTTATTGAATTTTGTTTTATTTAGAATCCTAAAATTGACAGTTTTTCAGAGAGAGGACACAAACCAGACAGCATCAAAGGGAATTTGGAGTTCAGTGATGTTCACTTTTCTTATCCAGCTCGAGCTAATGTCAAGGTACTGTAAGTAACTTTTCTGGAATTTCTACCTCAGGTTGATTGTTTAATCATCTCAAACAATCTAAAAGTTTTTAAATTTGGTATACATGTGCTTTTTTACTTTCAAGGTTATATTTCCTTGTTTGATACTGTTTTCAAATTTAAAATTGAATTGAATTATACCCCTTTTAGGGCTTTGTTGTGAAGTGTATTCATTTTTCTCTTTTCCCTTACAGATCTTAAAAGGCCTCAACCTGAAGGTTCAAAGTGGGCAGACAGTAGCCCTGGTTGGGAGCAGTGGCTGTGGGAAAAGCACAACCGTCCAGCTGATGCAGAGGCTCTATGACCCTGATGAGGGTACGGTAAGTGGGGAGAACTAAGTTCTCCAAAGTGGGATACTGAGTACCAACTAGTTATTTAAAACTGTTTTGTTTTGTTGTTAACAAATTTGCATGTGAATGCAGTGCTATGGAATTGCAGTGCATCTGAACAATACACACCTTTGACTGGATTAACAAATATATTCAAGATGTGAAAGCTAGAGAAGCTAACCAATGATCTTGTCTGTTCCAACTATAAACTACTAAATCACTGGAAAAGTTATGTTAATCACTGAGAGGATTATTTTCAATGAGATACTAGATCACAAATATTGCATGTAGCAATTATTGACAGCTTTGTAATTAGAATCAAAAGAAATTTAAGTAGTCATCAAAGACAGTTGAGTTTTCTTAAATGTTGGAAGACCTGAAGGGGAAAGTCAATGTTCTCTTAAGGAACTTCTGGGGACATGTGGACAGTAATAGATTAGGGGATATTTTTTTGCCTTTTGAAAATGTTATATTCAGAAGTTGGAATCAGGAAAGTTATATATACCCAGATAAACTAATTGTTTTTTTTTAATTAATTATTTATTTATTTATGCATACAAGAACTGGTGTGTAGGCCAGAGGTGTGGAGGGGTGAGAGGATTCACCAGAGACAGAGTGGGGAGCAGAACAGGTAGATCTATTGAAAGACACTGCTGAGAGTAGCAGTGGGCAAGACAGGAGAGGTCTGCTGTGCAATATGGGTTAGCTCCCTGGCTAGGATCGAACTCGTGCTTCAGTGGCTGGTGATAGCTTGATAGTACTGAGACTTTAACCCCTGTGCCACCACATAGGCCCCTAATTGTTTTTGTTTTGATCCACCTGCTTTATTGCCCCCCTTTCTCTCTCTTCCCTGACCCTCCCTCCAATGTACACAAACACACTCACACACACATTGTGTGCATGTATGCATACACACATACAGATTTTTTCCTGAGCCTGTGGGAGTAATTTAGAGATATCATACCCCTTGACCCCTGTATTCATCCAAATATATTTCCTAAGTAGGACAGTCTTTCGCATAACCACAGAATAATTATCAAAATCGGTAAGATTAACTTTAATACAATACAATACAATTTACCAATTTTAGGACATTGAGTTTACCTGATATCAGAATATATTATGACTCAACAGTTATAAAAACAAAAACTATGAGGTACAGAGAAAACAAAACATAAAAAGGTGTTGAGATAGAATAGAGATTTCAGGAATGAATATGAACTTTTCTAGGATACATGAGTTATTTGTTAGTTAAATATAATAAAATTAATAAATATTTTTGTAAAAAACTGACATTGCTAAGAAGGTATGTAGGCCCTCATTTACTGAAACAAACTCTCTGGTTATTTAAGTGTAAACATTTTTCTTTATTTAAAAAAAAATCCTAGTAGAGTGAATACTAACCATTGAAGGGAAACATAAAAATATCTCTTTTTAAAATTATTACCTATTTATTAGAATATTTTTTCAGCAGGAAAAAATTCTTCAGAAATTCTGTAACTCAGAGATAGTCACTATTCATATCATGATTTAACAATTGTCTTACTGTTGAAATAATAGAAGAAATGCCCAGTTATAGCATTGATGAGTCCATTTTTCCTAAGCTTCTCTCCAGTAAAACTCATTAAAATTATTATAAAAGAAAGCAATCATTAGAACAAAACATTTATGATATATATGGAAAAGTATTATGTTTAATGTTTGATAAGTCAATGCGAATCTATAATAGGTAGGAATATTCATATCTTTCAAGAATAAACATAGATTTGTAAAAAGATTCAGGAAATGTTTAACCTCATTTATGAAATAGATACAAATTAAAATAGATAAGCTATTGTAAACTACCACCTCATACCTATTTTTCTTTTTTTTTGAAGATTGATTTATTTATTTATGCATACAAGAGCTGGGGTACAAGCCAGAGGTGCAGGGGGTGAGAGGATTCACCAGAGACAGGGTGGGGATCAGAACAGGAAGATGACTGAAACACACTGCAGAGGGGAGCTGTGAGTGAGTCAGTAGAGTTCTGCTGCACCACTTACGTCAGCTCCCTGGCCAGGGATTGAACTCATGCTGCAGAGGCTGCATTTTGCTTCATAGTGCAGTGCTTAACCCCTTGTGCCACCTGTTTTTTTAGAAGGAAAAAAAAAAAAGATTAAAATTATAAAACCCAGAACTGGTAAATTATAAAGAAACATATTTAAATATTCCTGCTGAGGCCTCCCCGGTGGCGCAGCGGTTGAGCACTGGGTTGTGGGGCTGCCCCCAGCCTCTGCAGCGCCGGTTCGATCCCCAGCTGCTCCCCGGCCACCAGAGGAGGGTCCCACATGGCGCACAGACCTCTCCTGCCGCCCGCTGCTCCCCTCAGCAGTGTACTTCGGTCCTTCTGCCTGCTGTGCTCCCTACTCTGGCTCTGGTGAGTTCTCTCGCCCTCCCGCGCTTCTGGCTGTACCCAGTGCTTGTACAAATGAATAAATAAATCTTTAAAAAAAAAAAAATCCCTGCTGACATTGTAAATTATTAAAATTAAAATTAGAGGGTTTTTTAACCAATTTTTATTCAGCAAATAATAAATGCCCAGCATACAGTAGTCACTGTGCAGGCAAGCAATTGTTATCAAAGTATGAATATAAATCATATTCTTGTTGACTGAGAAATAATAAGATTGTAATATAACCAAGGTAGTGTTTACGTAAGAAAAGGAATTATGATTTGGTTGCAGACCAAATCCCTGGTGTGTACCACCAGGGCTAGGGCATTGGGAAGTTTTGATGGATCAAGCAGGGGAATAGGGGAACTAAGCTTATGTCTTTTGTTTGAAACTTTTGGACTGGCCGATAGGAGTTGTCAGGAAAAAAGCTGGAATACCAGCGGCCTTTTGTAACAACCAGTAGAGGGTCTTCCTGTTTCTTCCTTAATCATCAATAAGGAGAAAAACAAAATGTTTCTATTTTTTCAGTCATCCATAAGCAGAAATCAGTGAGTAAGTGTTCCTTCATAGTTACTCTCCGGGAGTTGAGTCGACTGCTGAATCAGGCTGATTACTTTTCACCTAGAAGTCTCAACAATTTAGAGATAAAACAGAGTCTGACTCAAAATACATTCCACACTCTCCAGCCTAACAACCTCTGCTTATGCAGTGTTTATCTTCAGTATTTCTTTTTTTTTTTTTTTTAATTTTTTTTTTTTTAAAGATACACTTTTTTTTTTCCAAATTTTTTTTTTAAGATTTATTTATTTATTTATTTATTCATACAAGCACTGGGTACAGTCAGAAGCGTGGGAGGGTGAGAGAATTCACCAGAGTCAGAGCAGGATGCAGAACAGGCAGAAGGACCGCAGTACACTGCTGAGGGGAGCAGCGGGCGGCAGGAGAGGTCTGCACGCCATGTGGGACCCTCCTCTGGTGGCCAGGGAGCAGCCGGGGATCGAACCGGCACTGCAGAGGCTGCGGGCAGCTTCGCAACCCCGCGCTCAACCGCTGCGCCACCGGGGAAGCCCTATCTTCAGTATTTCTTGAAGGAAGTTAAACATCGAGTGGCTGGACATCTAAATTGTCGTATATTACATGCAGTAGAACCTCAAAATGTAATCAAAATGATATATAGACTAGGTAGATAAGTAGACACTTTAAATCAAATTTAATCATGATAAGCAAAAATGAGTGCTGAAAATATATAACCTAATATCATTTATAGAAAATAATTCATCCATGAAAAAACTGTATGTGTAAGATAATAAATATCAACAGAAAGCATACCCTTTCTGTTTTTACACACTGCTGTTTATTTCCAATTGTCATTTCTAATCACTAAAAAAAGTTAAATATTACCTAAGACTTTTTCTGGTAATGAATTAGAGTCTTGATGCTTTAGATATCACACAGTTTTAAATAGTTAATGGAAATGTTTCCTTCTTTCAGATTAACATTGATGGGCAGGATATTAGGACCTTTAATGTAAGGTATCTGAGAGAAATAATTGGAGTGGTGAGTCAAGAGCCAGTGTTATTTTCTACCACAATTGCCGAAAATATTCGTTACGGCCGTGGAAATGTAACCATGGATGAGATTAAGAAAGCTGTCAAAGAAGCCAATGCCTATGAGTTTATCATGAAATTACCACAGGTAAAGTCTCTGTTAATGTAGTTGTCCTCAGTTTAGGATTCTACTTGAAATGACTGAATTCTTTTTCTTCAAATGTTAATCTAATAATGTTTGAGATGCATTGTTATCTAACTTTGCCAGTTAAGTCCTTGGAATTCAGTATTCATTATTTTATTATAATTGATGACTATTATGATAGTCAAAATGTAACACCATGCTGTCTTCATGAATTTCAAGTCTGCAGGCCTATTCTGTTTAAAATACTCTTGCATGTTTTCTTTTAGAAATTTGACACCCTGGTTGGAGACAGAGGAGCCCAACTGAGTGGTGGACAGAAACAGAGAATTGCCATTGCTCGGGCTCTGGTTCGAAACCCCAAGATCCTCCTCCTGGATGAGGCCACATCAGCCTTGGACAGTGAAAGTGAAGCTGAGGTACAGGCAGCTCTGGATAAGGTCAGTAAACCCTAAACACCTAAAGGATCAACAAACTGAAACTTTATTGAAATTCATTGCCAATGCTTTGCAAGTCTGGATTGAGAAATAAACATAAGAACAAAGGAAGCTTTCTCCTTCCGCTTTATTGATTTCTCCTTTTTGTGGGGGTCACACTGCAAGCAGGGGTGAATGGTCCATTTACTGGCATCAGTCCAGGACTGTGCACTAAACTAATTAGCTTTTTTCTTTCATGTAGGCTATTACTTTGACCAAAAGTAGTTGTGTTAAAACATAAGAGATAGAATTAATAAATGGTTCATATTGGTATCTTTATAGCATTTAATGTAGATCTTTACACATTGCTGAGCCTAAATCAATATTTACTGAATTGAATACCATCATTGAGATAATACATGTTGTATTAAAACAATTATTTTTTATCTATTGACTCAACTATTCATCAAAATCTGTAATAGATTTTTTAGTATAAGATCTTTTTAAAAAATCATGTTTATTGAGGTAATGTTGATTTACAACACTGTTTTAGGGCAATAGATTCACACCTCTACTCGTGTATGTTACCACACCACACCCATCACCAAGACACCAACATAAATATATAATATAGAAAGGTTAAAAGATTAATATTTCCTTTCTTTGGGTCTCCCTTTAACCCTAAAAAATTATCAGAAGGTCCAAATTTCTTAATAGTGTTGTCCATCAATCTAGGATATTTATTTGCCAATGTTTTGTCATCATTGGGTATCAAAAAGCTCTGAAAAATACTCTCTTTGTGTCAAACCTTTAATCTGGCCAAAATTTTGTGGTCAAGGGTGATAGTTGCTGTTTTAAATTATAAATACAAACTTTGTTTCTCCTACATACAACTCATTCACTCACAGTCTGATTCCACCTTCTCTGTTTTGATCTGTTGACATGGCATCAACCTATTATTATTATAACATATTCACTGTCAACAACTTACTCATCACTTTTATTATCAAGACTATAATTAGACTAATCAGATACTTTTCTATATGCCTTATTGTATGTGGCCCAAGCCACACAACTTCCACATCAGTAAATATTTCAACAAATAATGCTTCTTTGGGTCCTACATATGACAAATCAAAGACTAGCCTTTAGTGTTTTAATATAGAGCTCTGTTCTAGCTTCTCTCTTTTTTTATGGTTTAATCTTTTAATGTTTATTTAAGTGTATTGATTCATCTGGTTATTTTTGTGTTATAACTAAACTAAAAAATGCCACATTAATTTTTTCCATGTACCTACACAATTGGTTCAGTATCATGTATTGTAGTCTATTTTTGCCTTGATAATGGACAGTGTCATATGTATCATGTAATAAGTCCTAAATGCTTTATGTCCATTTCTGAACTTTGTTTTGTTCTATTGATTAAACTGCCTATTCATGAAATAACTTCCCCTGGATTTCACTGTTTTAGTTGATATGGTTGTGTTTTGTTGTTTTTTTTTTTTATTTGGTATTATAATATCTGGTAGAGATATTCCTTTCTCATTAACTTCTTTTTTAGAATTTTTATGACTATTCTTTTTAAAAATAATTGAGACAATTCAAGCAACATTAAAATTTACTCTTTTAAAATCTATAATTTATTGGTTTTTTATTGTATTTACAGGATTTTGCAACCATCAGCACTAATCTAATCCAAGAATATTTTTATCAACCCAAAAGGAAATATTGTACCCATTACCAATCATTCTCCATTTCATGCTCACCTTTTCCCTTGGCAACCACTAATATACTTTTCATCTCTCTAGCTTTGCCTATTCTGGACATTTCATATAAATGAAATCATACGATGTGTGATATTTTATGACTGTTTTTTTTTTTTTCACTTAGCATAAGGTTTTCAAGGTTCATCCATGTTGTAATATATGTCATTCTTTTTTATAACCCAGTAATATTCCAGCACATGTATGGATATACCGCATTTGTTTATCCATTCTCAATTGATAAACGTTGGATTGTTTTCCATTCTTTGGCTGTTGTGAATGTAGCCTCTCTATTTTTAATTTGTATCTTCAGCTGTTTAGGTGAATCAGGCTGCATTCTAATAACCTTCAAAAATTGTGGGTTTATGGCTTCAGAGTAGGAATGGTCTTAAGAAGCTATTACTCTGACAGGGTTTATAAGTATCTTAGAAAGCAAACATTATTAGTGACATAACATGAAAAGTTTCATGGGCATTTCCCAGGGTTTAATGCAAATGCGTAAGCCCACCAAGCCAAAATATGAGGTCACTGATCTACTTTAAAAGGGTGATTTATAGATTTCAGCATGCATAAAAATCACCTGGGATGCTTCTTTAAAATCAAAGTTACTGGTCCCATTCCCGGGATTGACATTCATATGGTCAATTTAATCATAATTTAACATTGCTAATCCCAAGGTGCATATTCACCTAAACTGCCTGCATGCAATCCATAAGAATTATGGATGAAATCAGGTACTTCAAAGGAAACACTACAGACAAGCTCTCTAGTTGGTAGCAACTCCCCTTAGTATGTTTTTACTACAGTTTCTAGCATACCCATGTAACTCAGAACCTAGGCTCCTCAGACAAGGGTGGAAATACTTAAAAGTCAAGCGTTTTCTTGTTTTTCTTGAATAAACATTGATAGTCCCTTGGGCTTCCAGACTTATCCATCTTCATACTGAAGAGGTTGGCCTCCTGTCTAGTCTAGAACTCAAGTCTCACTTTAACCTTTCATAGATGAGTGATGCACATGTGCTCTAATCACACAGCAAGGATAAGGTGTTCTCTTCCATCTACAAAAATATCCATGCAAGTGCTTAAATGTGATGTTAGTTGATAATGTGACATGTGCACACATGTTTGTCCTTCCTTTTCCCCTTTAGGCTAGAGAAGGCAGGACCACCATTGTGATAGCACACCGACTGTCCACAATCCGAAATGCAGATGTCATAGCCGGGTTTGAGGATGGAGTCATTGTGGAGCAAGGAAGCCACAGTGAACTGATGAAGAAGGAAGGGGTGTACTTCAGGCTTGTTCACATGCAGGTATCTGCTTTGCAGGGAGTTTTTCTGCTGCTTGCTCCTAAATAGAAGTATTATTTAAATTATTAAAATATTTTGCAATCAATGCCATATTGAAAAATAAACTTCAGGGAGATCCCTAAAAGTGTTCATTTTTAAGATGTTAATTCAGGGGCCTCCCTGGTGGCGCAGCGGTTGAGCGCTGGGTTGCGAAGCTGCCCGCGGCCTCTGCGGCGCCGGTTCAATCCCAGGCTGCTCCCCGGCCACCAGAGGAGGGTCCCACATGGCGCGCAGATCTCCCCTGCCGCCCGCTGCTCCACTCAGCAGTGTACTTCAGTCCTTCTGTCTGTTCTGCTCCCTGCTCTGGCTCTGGTGAATTCTCTCACCCTCCCGCGCTTCTGACTATACCCAGTGCATGTATAAACAAACAAACAAATAAATAAATAAATAAACATGCCTCTATTAAAAAAAAAGAATATAAGAATATATTTATTCTTATATATAAAGTTTAAAAAAAAAAAAAGATGTTAATTCAGAATCAGTGAAGGAATCCTGAGAAAGAGGTGAGGGAAGAGGAAAAATGACAAAACTTTTTATTTTATTCCTTAGGACAGAGATCCAAAATTGTTTGGGGAATGTCTACAAACATTGAATTGAACTCCTGTGTTCAAGTAGCACTGTTTATTGTAACCAAGCTATTGAAACAACCTCAGTTCTCAAAGGCACATGAGTAGATCACAACAATATGTTATATGTATACAACGGCATTCTACTCGGGTATTATTAAAATAGATAAACTCTTGCCATTTGCAACAAAATGGGTGGGACTGCAGGAGATTATGCTAAGGGAAAGTCAGAAGAATAAAGACATATGCTAGATGGTGTGGTTTATATGTGGAATATAGAGAAACAAAACAAATGGTGAGATAAAGCCAAACTAATAACAAATCCTAGAAATCTGACTGTGGAACTAAGACTACCACAGGGGGAGGGACAAGAACAAAGTAAGGAGGGAACCCATGGGTTAACATGGTAGACTGTGGGTGCTTTGGGGGGGGGGGTGTGGTGTGGTAGCAGCACCTCAATGGAAAGATACTGTACCTCTAAATCACAAATAGGGTTGCAAACCAATGTAAATGCAATTAAAAAAGAAATGCTTCCCAGATAATTCTAACAAAACCAAAGGCAAGATTCTTGGTTCTAGGAAGGGAATAGCTGATTTTATTTAAAAAAACAAAAGAAAATAATCATTCTCTCTAGTACCTAAAGCAGGTTATATATTTGTTTTTTCAACAATTACAATATGAAACCATAGTGGTGTGTAGTTCAAAAAACAGGTTATTTTAGCAATTGTTGGTTTGCCTTATTATTAAATAAGACATTTTATTTGGCTTACTCACTTGAACAACTTTTTGAAATAACCTAAAAATATTTTATATACATGATTCTTATATTTATAAAAGTCCTTGTATATAACTGTAATTAGTATGTGCATACATATCTTGTTTTTTTGTTGTTGTTAACATTACAGATGTACAGTCATCCAAACCCTGCCATTTTAATGGGTACTCAGTGGTCCTTTATAATAGTGTGCAAGAAATTGTTTAGTCATTTTTTTCTAATGTTGGAGACTTGGTTTTAATCCAAAGCTGTCAATGAGACTGAGTCTCTGGGTTTGTGGGCAAGGGACGGGGAAGATGACTTTGCTCAGCCAGTTGAAGAAAGGAGCTTAATTGCTTCCTAAGGGTGGTAACCAGCTCTCCTTGTTTGCAGCTTTAAAAATGAATCTTTGGTATTGTTTCTGCTTGTTTTTCCCTTTCATAGTCATGATTTGTTTCTGGATTCTTGCATGTTGAGGAAATTCCTTCATGTCAGCTGGATGATGAAATATTTGCCCTAAAATTTTTAGAAACTACTTTTTTACTCCAATTTTTAGCTTTTCTCAAATTTAATGTAATCTTTCTGTCATTTAAAAACCTTTTTTATTCTAGGTGTTCATGCATTTCTTTAGTTTTCCAACTAGCTTTGAATGAGAAGCTGTTATGGAATCTAAAATTTTTGACACAAGTAAAATTCAACATAGCTTTATAGCAGAATCTTGCTATTTATTTAGTAATAGAGAACAAGCATGATTGATTATGTGACAATGGTAGAAGAGGCAGGGTCCAGGGGAAACAAAGGGTATTCATCTTTATGGGAGTAGGGTCCAGGGGAGACAAAGGGTAATCAACTTTATGGGGAACAGGAAGTGACATGTTGGCCATGTATACAGAGAGACCTTCCTGTCTTCCTGTACAGGTATTTGGTATAATTTCCAAGCTACTCCCAGACCATCTCAGACCCTCACCATACAATCAGTAAACGGTTACCTATGCGTCCCCAGCCACCTCGTGATGTGGGCCATTGTCTCAAGGCAATCATGTGGGAGTGCCTTATCCAAATCTTTCACACAAGTAGGTACATAGAGAGGCCATGTGCACATAGGTAGAGAGGCCTTAGGTGGAAAGGAGGCCACACTTCGTGGTTCTAAAGTTGGAGGTTACATCCAGCTGGTCTCTCTCTCTCTTTTTTTTAGACATCAGGATACCAAGTCCAGTCAGAAGTATTTGAATCTGAACTAAATGATGAAAAGACTGTCATGGGTATGGCCCCAAATGGTTGGAAATCTCAAATATTTAGGAATTCTACTCATAAAAGCCTTAGAAACTCACGAAAGCATCAGAATGGCCTTGATATGGAAACCAATGAATTTGTAAGTTGCTTTTCATTTTAATTGTTTATAGATTAATTGATGAAATTCTTAGTCTTGCATATATTTTACAGGTACAAATGATTCCTACTATGAGCCATATTCTTCTTCAAAAAGGAAAATTTCAAATTTTAAGTGTATTTTACAAGAATTAAAGTAAATTCCAATTAAAAATGGATTTCCAATGGAAAAAACAGAATAACAGTGTAGTCTTTGTGTTTAGATGCTTAATATTAACATGATATATTCCATTTATCTTTGAAATCCAGTGATAAATAGGATTAAAATAAGAGGACCTAGATATTTGCATACTTAATTTAGATAGGATTACATTTGCTTGTTTATGCAAGGAAACTAAGAATATCATCAGTTTAAGCTAATTAAGAGGGTTTTTTTTTTGTTTTTTACATAGAAAAATCTTATCGATGGGAAATCCCAGGTTACAGTGGGGGCTCCACTGTTACCATGGGTTCAGGCTCCTTTCATCTCTATTCTGGCATGTGACTTCCATCCTCAGTGATCTAAGATAGCTTCTGAAGCTCCAGCCATCCCATACATGTTCCAAGATGCAGGAAGAAACAATGAGATTTTCCAAAATCCAATGAAATACTTTTACATAGATGGCATTGGCCATAACTTAATCACATGACCCTACATAGCTGCAAGAGAGGGTGAAAAATTGAATATATTTGTTGCATGCAATGCGACTCTAAATTAGATTGGAATTCTACTTAGAAAATGAGGTGAATCGCCAGAATAGCAAAATTGTTCATACTTTAACATTTCTCACTTGAAGACTTAGAATATTATTAATTCAATTTAGAGGGGGAATCCATTTCAAGAAAATGTTTATTTCAAGAAATAATTATTGAGAATATATCATTTGATTTTATTTGTCAGTAATGGTAGAATTTATATTTACTCTTGTATTGACTTGAAGAAACTAATACTACTGAAAGTTCGTAACATCTGTTTTTCTCTGTGCACATTATGATTTACTACAGAAATTACAAAGCCTTTTTTAGAAGTCTATTTTGGCAAATATTGATATATCTACAGAAAGAAGAATAACATTGTATTATTCTGGACCTGTGTTATCATAAGTACAATACACAACTTCCCCCTTTTTGGCTATGGATGTTATCTTGAGAGTGATTCTAAATCATGAGTTTCTGGTATTTTAAAGTCTCACTTCTCTTAGAGAAATGCACAGAGAAGAGAGAGAGGCAAACATTGTCATAATCAACAAGATTGTTATAAGTATCATCACAGAGAAATAAATGGTGAGAGAGAAAAATAATGAGAATATAAAATGTAATATGATTAGAGAGACCTGGGAAGATTTGTTTGTATGTTTGAAGAGCAACGGGAAAAGGGTTCCTTATCAGGCTGGAGATAAGGGTTTAAAGATAATGTTAACTAGAGAGGAAACAGGTTTAAAACAGAGAGAAATGGCTGGTTTAAAAGAAGAGAGCTGAGTAGACCTTTCTTCTAGATTCTTTGTTTCATAAAGACTAAACATGTCCAGGGCCTCCCCTGGTGGCGCAGCGGTTGAGCGCTGGGCTGCGAGGCTGCCTGCGGCCTCTGCAGCGCCGGTTCAAACCCCGGCCATCCAGCGAGGGTCCCACAAAAAAAAAAAAAAAAAAAAAAGACTAAACATGTCCTATTTGAATGACTGTAAGGCAATGGAATCTCATAGGCACCTTTTGTATCTAGTTAATGTTAAAACTACTTCTGTAGTCAGAATATTCTCATATATATGACTCAAATTCTTCATGCTTGACCTGACATTTAGTTCAACATTTGCTGAGAATCAGATATTTACTAGTTTCTAGGTATATAAGAACATTGTCTTCACTTTTTTTAAAAAAAAAAAACCTCACATACCAGAAAAGGAGACCTATACATCAACAGGAAAAACAGTCACAAAACAAGTTAATCCATGAAGTAAGAGAAATGTGCACAGGGGATAGTAGTTTGAAAAGAGGAGGCAGGGTGGGTGGGGGGAGGGAAGGATGTAATTAATTTGGTTTTGTAATTGGGATCCTGTCATAGAAAAGATAGCAGTAGACAGGAGTCTGACGGAGAAGAGACCAGACCCATGTTCCCGGGTTAATAATGGTATGCTACATTTGTAAAGTCATTTGCCCATCTATTCACAGGCATTGTTGAATTTCACCCAGACATAGAGAGGCAAGACCATGTCATTATATATGAGAAAACTGCAGCTCTGCTCTTGTGGCCTGGCCATGACTGTCACACTGACACAGGGCTGTGTAAGCCCAGAGCTAGACTTGAATTCTAGGACATTTTGTCCCCAGGTTTTGCTCCTGCTCACTCTCTGGGGCTAGAATAGAACTGAGCTAGTCTCACCATGAAGTCTTGAGTGTCACACCATGTTTCTTGGATGAACGACTCATACCCACAGTGTGCTGTGTTACTCTCCATAGTTGACCACAACTAGTCATTTTCCAAACCTGCTTTGTAAGATCTTTGAGGGCAATGACACATCTTTTCTACAGCTATAAACTCTGGTAAATGTTATTACCAATTTGTCCTGGTATTTATGTGTTCTAGGATGAAAATGTGCCACCAGTTTCATTTTTGAAGGTCCTGAAACTGAATAAAACAGAATGGCCCTACTTTGTAGTGGGAACAGTATGTGCCATTGCCAATGGGGCACTTCAGCCAGCATTTTCCGTCCTGTTCTCTGAGATGATAGCGGTAAGCTTGAAAGTATCACTTCATAATTTGAATTAAATCAGTTTTCACCCCAACCTCACCCCTGGGTTCATTCTGGAGTAAGGCAGCCTCAAATTAAACTAAGTCAAAGTCCTTAATGCCCTTTTGAGGAAAACTGTCAGGAAAAAGGAGTTACCTTTTGAATGATTCCAAGTTATGGTATTAATAAAATTTTAAACTGTAAAATCACTGAAGGAGGCATTCGATTTGGCTTTCTATATTTGATGAAACTGGTGTTTAGCAATTAGCCCCATACCGTTTATAGAGAGGAGATGTCACAGGAAGGCTGGAAGGGATGGGATAGGGAGAAGTTAAATCCTAGTGTTTAAGAGGCCAGACTAAGGGTACAAATAGTCCTCATCACTTAATAGCTATGCAGACCTGGGTAAGATGCTTTCCCTTTCTGTGACTCAGGTTTTTCATCTATAAAATAAACCCAAATGCCCAAAAATAGATGACTGGATCAAGAAGATGTGGTACATATACACCATGGAATATTACTCAGCATTCAAAAAAGATAAACACATGCAATTTGCAGCAACATGGATGGCACTGGAAGGGATCATGCTCAGTGAAATAACCCAGAAAGAAAAAGAAAAATACCGGATGGTCTCACTCATAGCAGGAATCTAGAAAACTTAAATAAGGGACCAGGAAATGAATAACTATAAGAAAGTGAAAATCAAAATCAACAAAAAACTATGAACCAGAGATACTCTAAAGGGGTTGGGGGGCAGGGTGGGGAGGGATTGGGGTCAAAATAAGGGGGTTGCAATTGTATGGGGAATATAAAAATAAAATTTATTTAAAAAAAATTAAAATAAAATAAACCTACCTAATCAGATGAATATTAAAAGAGATGGTATAGAATAATCCCTGGTATAAATTAATAGTGTCAACTTTATTAAGTATTGTAAACATGATAGCCACTACATAGTTACTTTAGCAATCCTTCCAAGACTTGGAGAGTCTGAGATTAAGAAAGTAAATTCACATGGTCTAGTTGTTCAAATCACTGGGAGATATTTGTAGAAAGTCATCAGAAATATGTTAGGCAAACCCTGGAATTATATTGTATGACCATCTTTGTCAATCTCTAACTTTATTTTTTATTTTTTTTTAAGGTTTATTTATTTATTTATACAAGAACTGGGTACAGTCAGACGTGTGGGAGGGTGAGAGAATTCACCAGAGCCAGAGCAGGGAATAGAACGGGCAGACTGACGAAATACACTGCTGAGGGGAGCAGTGGGCCTGGCAGGAGAGGTCTGTCGCGCCATGTGGGACCCTCGCTGGTGGCCAGGGATTGAACCGGTGCTGCAGAGGCTGTGGGCAGCTTCACAGCCCAGCATTCAACTGCTGCACCACCAAGGGAGGCCCAATCTCTTTTATTGGAGGGACTTTTTTGTTAAAATGCATTATTTTCCATAATGTTAAAAGTTTATTTATCTTGTGACATTGGGCATTGGTCTGCAATTAAGAACACAAGCAAAAAAAAAAAAAAAATTTAGAGAGGGCCCTCCAAAGGTTTTTTTCTTACAAAATAGATCAGTCCCTGGCTCTCTTTCAATTAAAAAGTTGTGTGGATCCTCTTTATATTTCTGGGTATCTCCTGTGTACCAAATGCTGCACTAGGCAGCTGAAATATGGTAGGAAACAAACCAGACCCTGCCCTTAAACAGCTTATTTTGTATTGGCACAGACAAACAACACTCAAACAATAATCAAATATATGTGTGTCAAGTGATAACAGGCATTTTAAAAGCAAGGTTGGGCAATGGAGGTGCTACAGATGGGATGCCCTTTTACATAAGATGATCAGGAGAGATGTGTCTGGGCAAAGGCCAGTGGAGGGCTCGGGCTGTAGAGGGAAATTCAGGCAGAGGAAGAGGAACAAACATTAAAATGTGCACCCAACAAGGGATGTAGTGGAGGACCATGAGTGCTTTGGCGGTGGGTGTGTTATGGTGACTATGCCGGAAGAAGGACATCCTGTACTTCCCAAACACTAACAAGGATATAAACCAATGGTATTTCAACAAGAAATTAAAAAAAGAAAATGTGTACACAATCTATATGCAGTATTTTAATCCATATTAATAACCACATAGTCCTCAAATTCACAGAAAGTAGAATAGTGGTTCCAGGGGTGGGGAGGGGAGTTTCAGTTTGGGATGATGAAAAAGTCCTGGAGATTGATGGTCATTAAGGCTTACAACAGTGTGAATGTATTTAATACCACTGAATCATACACTTAAAAGTGGTTACCAGTTTAGGGCCTCCCCTGGTGGCGCAGGCAGTTGAGCGCTGCGCTGTGAAGCTATCTGCAGCCTCTGCAGTGCAGGTTTGATCCCGGCCGGCCAGCGAGGGTCCTACATGGTGCGGCAGACCTCTCCTGTCGCGCCCACTGCTCCCCTCAGCAGTGTAGTTTGTCAGTCGGCCTGTTCTGTTCCCCGCTCTGTCTCTGGTGAATCCTCTCACCCTCCTGCACATCTGGCCTATACCCCAGTTCTTATATAAATAAATAAATAAAATCTTTTTTTCTTTAAATAATAAATTTTATTTTTATATTCCCCATACAATTTCAACCCCCCCCCATTCTGACCCCAATCCCTCCCCTCTCGCCCCCACCCCCCAAAAAGTGTCTCTCGTTCATAGTTTTTTGTTGATTTTGATTTTCACTTTCTTATAGTTATTCATTTTCCTGGTCCCTTATTTAAGTTATCTAGATTCCTGCTATGAGTGAGACCATCCGGTATTTTTTTTTTTCTTTCTGGCTTATTTCGCTGAGCATGATCCCTTCCAGCGCCATCCATGTTGCTGCACATTGCATGTGTTTATCTTTTTTGAATGCTGAGTAATATTCCATGGTGTATATGTACCACATCTTCTTGATCCAGTCATCTATTTTTGGGCATTTGGGCTGTTTCCAAAGCTTAGCTATTGTAAATAGTGCTGCTATAAACATAGGGGTGCAGGTATTCTTTGGAATTGATGTTTCTGTGTCCTTTGGGTAAATACCTAGGAGTGGAATTGCTGGATCATATGGAAGCTCTATGTTTAGTAGGTCCAGAAATCTCCACACAGCTCTCCATAATGGTTGGACCAGTTTGCACTCCCACCAACAGTGCAGGAGAGTTCCTTTTTCTCCACACCCTTGCCAACATTTGTTGTTGCTAGTTTTTTTAATATGTGCCATTCTCACTGGTGTAAGATGGTATCTCATGGTAGTTTTGATTTGCATTTCCCTGATTACAAGTGATGCTGAACATTTTTTCATATGCCTGTTGGCCATTTGCATTTCCTCTTCAGAGAAGTTTCTTTTTAGCTCTTCTGCCCATTTTTGGACTGGATTATTTTCTTTGTTGTTGTTGAGTCTCATCAGCTCTGCGCAGATTTTTGTGATCAGTCCTTTATCATTGGTGTTGTGTGCAAAAATGTTCTCCCAGTTGGTAGGGTTTCTCTTTGTTTTTGTTATTGTCTCTTTTGCTGTGCAGAAGCTCTTTAATTTGATGTAGTCCCAGCTGTTTATCTTTGCCTTCACTATCACTGCTTTGGGTGATGTGTCTGTAAAGATGTCTTTGATGTGCAAATCACGTAGTGTTTCGCCTATATTTCCTTCTATGTATTTTATGGTTTCAGGTCTTATGTCTAGTTCTTTAATCCATTTTGAGTTGATTTTTGTGTATGGTGTGAGGTAGTGGTCAAGCTTCATTCTTTTGCATGTAGCAACCCAGTTTTCCCAGCACCATTTATTGAACAAACTTTCTTTGCTCCAATGCATAGTCTTTGCTCCTTTGTCAAAGATTAGTTGATCATAAATTTTTGGGTTTGTTTCTGGATTTTCTATTCGATTCCATTGGTCTGTATGTCTGTTCTTGTTCCAATACCATGCAGTTTTGATGATTATGGCTTTGTAGTATAGTTTGAAGTCTGGGAGTGTGATGCCTCCATTCCCTTCTTTTTTTTTTTCAGGAGAGCTTTGGCTATTCGGGGTTTTTTATGATTCCATATGAATTTCATCAATAATTGTTCTATTTCTTTGAAGAATGACATTGAGATTTTGATTGGAATAGCATTGAATCTGTAGATTGCTTTTGGTAGGATGGTCATTTTAATAATGTTTATTCTTCCAATCCATGAGCAGGGGATGTCTTTCCATTTCTTTGTGTCTTCTTCTATTTCTTTTAACAGTGTTTTATAGTTTTCTTTGTATAGGTCCTTTACCTCTTTTGTTAGATTTATTCCCAAATATAATAAATAAAATCTTAAAAAAAAAATTTAAAGAAAAAAAGTGATTACCAGTTTATTTCATTGTATATTTGCATTGAAATAACCACACATTCAAAGAACTGTTTTTAAATTATGCTCAATAATGTTTAAGCCATTATTTCTGGGAGGAATAAACAAGGATCATATAACCCAAGTGAGTATTTTAAATGATCTTTTGTAGATTTTTGGACCAGGGGATGATGAAGTGAAACAGCGGAAGTGCAACATGTTCTCATTGCTTTTTTTAGGCCTGGGAATTATTTCTTTTTTTACTTTCTTCCTTCAGGTAAGTACCTATAGTTTGCCCTTCTTGTTTAGTCTGTATTCAATTAGAGAAAACTAATCAGAATTTAATGAAGCATCTAAATGTTAGGCTAAAGTGAATTGCAAACATAATTGTCACATAGTTTTTAGAGGACAAATTCCATAGCAGAAGGAATTGTGACCCCCTGTGTGCTACCTGTATTACAAGTTTGTCCTCAGCAAATATTCAATACCAAAGGGGAGAAAGAGATTGAGTTCACAGGAGAAAATAAGAACCAATTAAACTCAACTTCGTTGTAAACTGGAAACAATAACCTTCTTTTTTGTCATTACTCTTTATACAATATCTCATAATTTCTCTGATCTTCTCCTGTTTACTTGATGGAACTATTTGGAAGAATATACCTTGTTTTGTACTTAGGTATTGTAGACCTGGCCAGAATGAACAAGTACACCTTGCTCTAATTGTACTTTTCTATCTAGTTAGACTTCTACCAAACTCTATTGTCTTTAATTCAATAGGCACCACACAGGCCTTTCAAATACAGTCCATTAAGTCATTAATCGTGATTAATTCCTCCAGTCATTCCCAGCATTCTTCTCTTTTAGCATTATTGGGACAGTGGCAAAAGGAAGCCACACCTTTCATTTCAAAATCAGTGCTTTGCCAGTAACAACTCTATGATTCTCTCTAGCCCCAAGCCCTGGTGTGTAAGGGAGTGGAACTAGTTAGAGAAAAGTTTTTTGGGAGACTGCACAAACAGTGGGCTGATAGATAGAACTGTGGCACCCACAATGCCCTCAAGAAATCTAGCCAGGAAGGAGAAGACAGGACAGTTGAGTCCTGGACACCTGGGACAGTCTGTTCTCTAGCACTGACCAGCAGTCCTTCTAGCTTAGTAAAGACTGATGTGTTCTCCCAAAAGTACACTGCTCACTCCTACCTCAACACTCATTGTGACTGGAGGATGCCACTCAGGTTGCCTGGAGGCAAGCCCAGCTGTGGACATGGACATGAGGGCTACTCTCCAGTTTGGATGTGCTGTAATGACAAAGAAGGAAATTGTCTGAAGGAGGCGTGGGAAGGCAGAATAGCTAATTGTGCCCCTATTTGGGGGCAGGTGGAACTGTGACCAGGGACCCACAAACTCATTGGAGTTCAGTGCTACAAATGTTCACCCTCCTCCTATACTACATGAGCCAAACATATTCCTATACGATTTTTTACTTTTATCTTCAAATGTTTTGTTTAAAGGTATTAGGAACTTGCTGAAAATTGTGATTAAACAATATCTTTCTGAGATGTTGTCCTTTAAAGTTCTGAAAAGTAAACCTATTTAGAATGGTTCAGAAGCTAGGATCAGATGTTTTTGAGGATGTTAAGTTGGGACTTTGAATTAGTATGTAGTTCTAGACATTTGTTTTTTGAATAGTTGATTAAGATATCAATAATGTAAAAATCAGTGTGAATATACCCATTTGTGGCAGAATATTAGTGATGATCAAGGGACAACAGCTTTTTTTCTTAACCAGGGCTTCACATTTGGGAAAGCTGGCGAGATCCTCACCACAAGGCTTCGCTCAATGGCTTTTAAAGCAATGCTAAGACAGGTAGGTGCACTGCAGAGGCTTTCTGTTTCTTAAGATTTCTTTCATTTTAAGCCTCTTCTTGTTCTAATGGTCTATAGCAATTCATGATTTCCTCCTCAGGCTGTTCATGCAAAGGCTGGTCAGGGGCATGCAAATTTTCCTGGTCTTTCAGGGTTTTCATGGGAGTATACTTAATTCAGGTAGTGTTTGTTCTTATTTTGCAACTATCTCTACTCATGTGGATGTTATCATTTCAAGGACCTGTATCTCTTCTCTGGCCCTGGGTCTGACTCTAGGATGACTTTTTTTTTTTCTTTATTGAGGTAACTGGTTTACAGCACTGTACAATTTAGGAAAATAGGTTCACATGTCCTCAGATGTATATTCCCTCCCCACACACACCATCCAAGCTCCCTTAGTCTTTTATTGGAGATTATTGTGCCCCCTTCCTCTTTTGTTCCTTCTCCCACCTCCCCTCCCCCTCAAAGCCTCAGTTCTGCAGTCATATTTCTGGGGTTTATTTTGGGTTGGTTTTGTCAGTTCCTTTATTTTTTTCCAATATTCCTCAGGAGTGAAATCATCCAGTATTTGTCTTTCTCCTTGAGACTTGTTCGCTTAGCATAATCCCTTCCAGCTCCATCCTGGGTGACTTTAAACAAAGGAAAGGGTGGTGGGGAGTATTCATGTACCACAATAGGACATATTAACTGCAGGCTCTCCCAAGTGATGGTGACTGAGTTTTGTTTAGGTTTTATTTGAGCTCTGTTTTTACATTAATTCACATCTTAATTCACTCAGTTGTTACCTACCATGTACCTGACAGTGTGTTGTAGCTGGGATTATAAAATGTATTATTTGCCCTTTTGGAAAGTTCCATCTAGTACAGGATATGTGGGGAAAATGTGCAAACATGAATTCTCTATGTTTACAGAGTAGGCCTAAGAGAGGGCCAGAATATTATGCATCTGATTAATAGAAATTAATTACATTCCTGTTCACAAAAGGCACAGAGCAGGTATCATGTTTTAAGAGCAGTATCTTTTGCTGTTAGGAAAATTGCTTTATTGGAAAGTAAATAGTATGAATCTATAGCTTATAATTAAAATCATATACAGATTACATCCTCTGAATGTTTGTTTTAAAAAAAAGGCATGATGAGAAATGATCAGGAGTTTCTTGTTCTAGAACTTATAAGCCATGTCCAGCACAGATCCACCACCCTTTGTGAGGGACACCACCACATAAGGGCGGAAGTCCAAGTTATGATGAGTGGGTGATGGAACATCCTCAGCCTCAGGGAAGCTGGCCAGGAGCACAGCTGCCATTTGGATAAGCCCTGTGGTCTGCCTTTGCCTTCTTCCCCTGTGGGTGGCCTCACCTGTCACAGCAGAGCAGCTGTGAGCTGGTGTCCTGATGGACTCTGAGAGTGTTTGCTTAGTGCAGACTCCAGGGCTCAACTCTGAATGTCAGGTCTCCTACACAGGTTAAGTGTGGATATTTCCTCATTGTTGAAGGCTTGGGAGAATTCATCTTATTTTCCTTGCTTGTTTTCTTTGAATTTTGAACAAATTTAATGGTGTATTTTGTGCCATAGGACATGAGCTGGTTTGATGATCATAAAAACAGTACCGGTGCACTTTCTACACGACTTGCAACTGATGCCTCCCAAGTTCAAGGTGTATGTAGACTGCTTTCTGCTATTTTTCTTTAACATGGTTTTGAAAAACATGTGGCATAGCTGTATCTGTTAAACTATTTGCAGCTGGAAATAACAGAAAACTCCAACTGGCATAAAACAATTAGAAGGTTAGACTTTACAGTTGATTGTTCCACTGACTCAAAAATTTCATCAGAGATCCAGGTTTCTTCTGTTTGAGTGGATCTGGGTAACTTTCCATCCTCAGCACTGGCTTCATCTGAAGGCTCCTTCCCTGGAGGTTATAGGAAGGTTGCCAACAGCAACCGAACTGCAAACTTGCTTCCCATCTAGTAAAGAGAGCACACACCTGTACCTCAACCACCAAATACACAACCTTCCCTTAATTCACATGCTCACATGCCCAACCCTGGCCCAGCTTACTTTTCAGGAAATGCAGTGCTCTGCCTGGGTTAGGTCCCCACCCCTAGGACCCAAGTACTCTGTGCCCACAGCTTCCCACAACAGAGAACTGGAGTAAGGGGAGAGTCAGTTATGAGTCCACTACAACAGCCCTCTTATCTGAGTGGTACAAACATTCATGTATGTATGCTTCACAGAGGATGGTGGCTTAGGATAAGTACACTTTGTAATAGAAGGTCTCTTAGAATATATAAAAATCCCTCTTAGATCAAATGGACTCTGAAACTGCCAAAGTACATTGGTATTAGTTTCCTCTCTAGACAGTGACTTTGTGAAAAAGTGTGTGCCTCCTGAGCCTGTACCTAGCAGAGCAGCTGGTTATTTGATTTTGTAGTGCCCTGTTCATTTGAGCAGGAGAGGAATGAGAATAGAAAGTCATGAACAAAGAAAAACTGCCACGTAGCATGAGTTAAGCCCAGGTGTCCTGGTTTATTGTTAATGAAAGGAGCAAATGTCAGTGTGGACACAAGCCCTCATCTTTCTAACCAGGAAACCTCAGGCTATCACATGTGGATTTGCAACCTAAAACACAGCTGCTCTCTTTTTTTCTCTTCCAGGCCACTGGGACTAGGTTGGCTTTAATTGCACAGAATACAGCTAACCTCGGAACTGGAATTATCATATCATTTATCTACGGTTGGCAGTTAACCCTTTTGCTGTTGTCAGTTGTTCCAATTATTGCTATATCAGGGATTGTTGAAATGAAAATGTTGGCTGGAAATGCCAAAAGAGATAAAAAGGAACTGGAAACTGCTGGAAAGGTTGGGTCAAATAAGATTTTATTTAGTATAACTGTTGTTGTTAGACATGTTTTATTTGAATTATTACAAATACATATATTAATGATTAAATATTTGTGCTCACACAGTAACAATTTTAATACTTCATGAAATAGTTTACCATATTTTTAAGGCCCAGAACTTGAAAATGGTATAATTAACGTAAGTCTTTAGCCTATACAAAGCAGTTTAACAAGTAAGGTTATTTTAAAGAATTCCTGCATTTCCAAAGTCCATTTTGCCCTGTATATCATATCCCAATGCCATTGTTAGGACAGATATCACTCCTATTTTACAGATAAGGAGTCTTTAAAGGAGGATATGTAAGGTAGTATATTTGCTGTCATTTAATAGATCTTTCCTTCTTGACTGTGAGTTTATAATTAAGGTGGGTAGCCACCAGAGGGCAGTAATTCTTCTATTTGTGGCTAATGACAATTGTGAACATGAACATGAACAAACATGAACATTAGTTTAAGTATTTACATTGCAGCAACTCATTATATCCTGACAACAAGTCTAGGCAGCATGGTTACAGTACTCTAATCATGGTTAAAGTACACTTACTCATTAACTCTAGAGCTTTAGACAAATAATTTTGTTTCTCCAATTTTGCAAATGAGGAATTTGAGAAGCCAACAAGTTAAAGGCATGACTGGGATTCAAGCCTGGATCTAATTTCAAAGCTCTTCACTATATGGCTTCATTAAACATGTTTAAAAGTATTTAAATCTATAGATAAGTATTTTATTGACATATATGTGCATTTAAGTGTTCAAATGTAGATTACAGACAGGAATTTTTTCACTCTTATGTAAACATTTTTTATTGAAACATTAGGAGGTAAAGCAGATAATGATTCTAAGTTGTGATAGTTTCTATAGCACCACACTTTACAAAGCCCTTTCACAACTGATCTTCGGTATGGTTTTGTGAGGTAGGATAGATTTCACCTCACAGAGATGAAAACATTCAGAGGTTGATTGACTTGTTATGTAGGCCAACATAAATTTCTGGATTCTTTGACAGATTCCCTAAAGCTTATGTTTTTCATTATTTCAGAAATAAAAATCTCATTTCTAATGAAGATCTGTTTACATTGCAGATTGCAACGGAGGCAATAGAAAATATTAGGACTGTTGTGTCTTTGACCCAGGAAAGAAAATTTGAATCAATGTATGTTGAAAAATTGTATGGAGCTTACAGGTAATGAGCACATTGTTGCATTGGGCAACACCACACTTGTTGCATCGGACAACACCACACTGATAAACAGGAGTCATGGAGCAGACTACATAATAAAGGATGCTGCTGAAGAGCAAGATCCTGGCCCTTTTATAGACATATGTAATTGATTGTAAGGAGATTAAGGAGATTAAAGAAAGGGGAAGGGTGTAGAAGTTTAGGGATTGTGAGTCTGCCCTCCAGGCACTTCTAATCTACTTGATGATACACCCTAATCCCCAGCCATGGTTCTAATCTTATCAACAAGGCACTCCACTGATCAGCTTCTGGAGTCCCTTGTCATACATTGGTCCTCGGCCCCCCAGACATTCCCGGTCATACCTTGTGATGTATAAGTCGGGAGTATGTGTTATGCATCGTTCTTCAGCCCCCTACGCGTTCCGGACATACCTCCTACTGCACATGTTATGCATAGGTCCTCAGCCCTCTGGGCATTCTGGACATACCTTGTGATGCATAACCTTCCCAGTGTGATCCAGCTTTGTGCTCTTGTTTGATTTGAAGGGCTTAAGGGTTGGGCTGCTGCTCCTAACTGGCCGGACCACTTTGACCTTGTTTAGGTGACAAAATGGCAGCCGAATAGGCTGCCTAGGAGTAGCAGACCCACAACACTGATAAAAAAACGGGGAGTCATGGAGCAGGCTACATAATGCAGGATGCTGCTGAAGAGCAAGATCCTGGCCTTTTTATTGATACAAGAATTATATAACATCGGTTGAGAGAAAGGAGGACAGAGAAAAGGGAGGGGTGAAACTCGAAAAGATGCTCTGTCATCTATAGTATCAGGGGTTGTGAGTCTGCCTTCCAGGTACTTCTCATTTGCTTGATGACTTGCTATTGTAATTGAGATCAAGCTCTAGTACCCCAGCTATGGTTTCAATCTTATCAACAAGGGATTCTACTGATCAGCTTCTGGGGCCCCTTGTTATACATTGGTCCTGCCCATCCCCCCAACCCCTGGTGTTCCGGGTCATACCTCCTCATGATGTATAAGTCGGGAGTACATTTTATGTATGGGTCATCAGCCCTCTGGGCATTCCAAGTCATACCTTGTGATGCATAACCTTCACAGCGTGATCCAGCTTTGTGCTCTTCTTTGATTGGAAAAGCACCTTACAGGGTTGGCTCCTATACCTAACTGAACAGGTCATTTTGACCTTGCTTAGGATTTAGAACTGTAGGGGCCTTGCTGGTGGCTCAAGGGGTTAAGCACCGCAATCCGCAGCCTCTGCGGTATGAGTCCGATCCCTGGCCAGCCATGGAGCAACCCACATGGCGCGGCAGACCGCTCCTGGCTCGCCCGCTGCTCCCCTCAGCAGTGTCTTTCAGACGGTCTGCCTGTTCTGTTCCCCACTCTGTCTCTGGTGAATCCTCTCACCCCCCTGCATCTCTGGCCTGCACCCCAGCTCTTGTAGGCATAAATAAATAAATCTTAAAAAAAAAAGGATTTAGAACTGTAGGTAACAAAATGGTGGCTGAACAGGCTGCTTAGTAGTAGCAGACCCACAGCACATGATTGTTATTAAAAACCTACTGCTTACCTAAAGGTAATTTATTGTCCCCCCCACACCAAAATAATAAAAACTTTGTTCTTTCAAACAATACTATGAGTTTAAGGATGACAATTTTCAATAATGACCTCTTTTTAATAATGATCAGCTTTTTAATATGACTGGGTCACAGGATTGGATTTTATTTCTCTTAAGAAAACAGTAAGATTGGGTCTTCCAGAGCTAAAAGTTACAACAGATTGCTGAAGTTTTTGTTCACCAGTACAGGCAACATAAAATACTCATGTGGATGATTCAGAATAAACTTTATTTTAGGGAAAGGTTCAAACACTTATTTTCTCTAGAATGTGTCATTGGAACCAGAGACTTGTTTTTTGATAAAGTGCTGTATTCTCTAGATGAGAACCACATCCAGCCTATTCTGAAAACAAAGACACATGGCTTAATTCACTAGCTTATTCAAGAACAATTCAAGAAGTTCCAAAAGGCACTACTTGCCACTTGTTTCTAACCATGGTCTGATTTTTTAAATAAATTAATATATTTAACACTAATGATATTGAAAATAATTTATATTACAAATTTGTAGACCAGCATAATAGTTTTAAAGTCTAGTAAATTAAACAGGGATAGTTGAAATTGCCAATTAATTCCATCTTCTTTCAGTTATATATACTTCATTTAATACTAAAGTTATACATGCAGTTAAAATTTTCTGTCCATTTGAAGTGTGATATATAAGGTGGTTGTGAATATATCAATTTGTTTTTCAGGAATTCTGTGCAGAAGGCACACATCTATGGAATTACTTTTAGTATTTCACAAGCATTTATGTACTTTTCCTATGCTGGTTGTTTTCGATTTGGTGCCTATCTCATTGTGAATGGACATATGCGCTTCAGAGATGTTATTCTGTAAGTAGTTTTAAAAATGTTAAGATTATTCTGTAATAAGGTTTCACTAGGTCTATGCAAAAGTTTGGAGCAGAAACAAAAAGCCTCACTTGTTCAAATATGAGGTCAGAGAGTTAAATTTACCACAGAGATCTGAGCTGGTCAGTAGTCCAAATACAGTTTAATCAGCTAAGTGAACTAAAATTAAATTCATGACAATGATCATAAGCCAGCATTTGAGTAATAGGATGCCAGTCAGGAGGACAGCAAATTTTCATGTTGTAGAAAGTAGGCAGAGATAAATCATAATTAGAAATTTGCTGGTGACCGTGGACTCAAAATAGAGTTAAAAGAGCTTGTTATTTATCTGCAACCAAATGATGACCTTGACAATGAGATGAGAATGCTTGGCTGAAATCTGACATAAGGTTCTCTCTCCTCTAATCAGGCTTAAGATGACCCTATTAATATTTGCCTCTTTACCTTTTTTTCCCTTGGTTTCCAAGGCTGACCTGTGATCATTCTAATTGATATATTCCTCTTTTCAAAATATGCTAAGTACATTCACTTAGCTGGCAGTCAAAATTAGGTTCTCTTGCCAAAGAGAAGCCATTCTTCCTAAGAACACTTGGCATATTTCTGCTCTGGTGGGATGAGTATAAAGCAGTACTTGTACAACCTTTTATTGAACAAGTTCAAGACAAGGTGAAAGTATGTAAGAGCTATTGTTTTGCTTTTATGTAACATTAAAAATAATGAGAAAGTACACACACGTGTGTGTGTGTGTGTGTGTATTCTCTATCAGTAAGAATCCCAGCAGGAAAAAAAAAAAGGCACCACAAACAATAATAGAGGAGAGTTTGCTGAAGGGGCTATTTTACAAAGGTGTGAGAAGTGTTAAGCAGTACACAGGGATGCTATTGACATCTCAGCAATGCCCAGCTAGGAATACTCCAGACTTAAACCTAAAGGGCAAGAGGAGCAAAAGATTTTCAGAACCCTTTGTGTGGCCTTTGGTGGAGGAAACCAGCAATACAACAATCTGACAGGAAGTAAAGAAAATAAATCCCAAACAAATACCATGACCTCATTCTCCTTCAGTCCTCCATCCCAGTTAGTACCTTTCATTGCCAAACCCATCAGAAGCTAGGAGATAAGAAAGAAAACCTTGAAATGTAGTGCATGAGGTCAAGATCTCAGCACACAGGGTGGAATGATGAAAGATAAAGATGGATAGAGAACAGTTTGGAAGGGTGCATTGAAAAGTCCAACTTTTTAATAATAGTAATAACTGGGAATAATGTTTTAGGATATTTTTATTGTCTACAAAAATGCGCCCGAGAAAATTGACCCTGCTTTTTAAAAAAAAAAAATTTTAGGGGAGGCCCTAAAAACATTTTAATATCTCTAATTTAGAAGTTTAAAAGAAGAAAATGGGGCCTCCCCAGTGGCACAGCGGGTTGAGTGCAGTGCTGTGAAGCTGTCCGCAGCCTCTACAGCATGGGTTCGATTCCCGGCCGGCCAGGGAGCAACCCTCACGGTGCAGTAGACCTCTCCTGCCTCGCCCGCTGCTCCCCTCAGAGTGTCTTCAGTTCCTCTGCCTGTTCTGCTCCTTGCTCTGTCTCTGGTGAATCCTTTCACCCTCCTGCGCCTCTGAGCTGTATCCCAGCTCTTGTACAAAAATAAATAAATCTTGGGCCTCCCCGGTGGCGCAGTGGTTGAGCGCTGGGTTGCGAAGCTGCCCGTAGCCTCTGCAGCACCGGTTCGATCCCCGACTGCTCCCTGACCACCGGAGGAGGGTCCCACATGGCGTGCAGACCTCTCCTGCCGCCCGCTGCTCCCCTCAGCAGTGTACTTCGGTCCTTCTGCCTGCTCTGCTCCCCGCTCTGGCTCTGGTGAATTCTCTCACCCTCCCAAGCTTCTGACTGTACCCAGTGCTTGTATAAATAAATAAAAAAAATCGTAAAATAAATAAAAGAAAAAATATTTAACTTCTCCATTACTACATAGGACTTTCCCTTCCCATCCCACATCACCCCCTTTTCTCAGGGAACTCTGGCAAAGTAATGAATAGCGTGGTGGAGCTGTAGAAGTCAGAATCTTTAGTCTGTCCTAAAAGTCGTTATAATTGATATCCATTCTTTAAAGAGCATATAATTTAAAAAATAGACCTTAACTTAGGATAATTGTTTTTTAGGGTAGTATCAATACTAATTTTAATTATAAAAGAAAAGTCTGGTAGAAGCTATTTTCCCTAATAAAAATTCTTTAACCACATTAATGATTATTTGTGTGGAATAGAAATCACAAACTGGAAGTCAGGGTGATAGATTCAAAAGGAAACATCACCTCTTGTCTGGTATCCTTAAAGCATTTGGTGCTTCAGTTCCCTCAACTCTAAAGAGAGTATAACTAGTTTCTAATGTTACTTGAGTTCACAAGTTAGGATCAGTTATAAGCCACCTCCTGAAAAAAAAAGAACTTTGGAAAATTATGTTAACTCTAGGAAATTAGAGTCTCCTAAAGGAAACTAGAAAGCAGAAGAGAAAGGAAACCCTCAGGCAGTGGTTCATCTTACCTCTTCTCTGGATTGCTTTTGTTATTGGAATGTCATGGAAATGGGAAGGCTGGGGTATATTAAGATCAATACTGTAATGGAAGCAATATGACCTTAGACTTTCAAATATCATGGAGCTAATTTTTTAATTCCTCTATTTCTATTTAGGGTGTTTTCAGCAATTGTGTTCGGTGCAGTGGCTCTAGGACACGCTAGTTCCTTTGCTCCAGACTATGCTAAGGCCAAGCTGTCTGCAGCCCACTTATTCATGCTGTTTGAAAGACAACCTTTGATTGACAGCTACAGTGAAGAAGGGCTGAGGCCTGTGAGTTCTCTGCTGTCTGATGAGTTCTTGCTTAATTGTTTTCCTAAAGGCTTGCTGTCTGCTAGATCATAACTACAGGATAAATGTAATTACAATGACATTTATTTAGCTTACTTTGTGATATTTGCAGGGCTGTTATTTGGCCAACTTTCCTGACATTTTCAATTTTCTTAGGTGGTTTCAAGGATTCTGAAGTTTAGCAAACCTAATGTTAAAAAAAAAAGTAAGCCTGGAATGGATTAATTTCCATGAAAATTGTTTGCCATTTCTGCATGAAGACATATGCATGTAATTCTGTATGTAAATGTAATTAGCAGTCTGGGTTTAATCACATTTTGTAATGGCTGAGTTACAATTGGTAAGAAGCTACTTTTTTCACCGTAAGAGTAATAACCCTATATTGTCTCCAGAGTCAACTCTGAATATCTTTGTGCTCTTTGCACAACACAAGCTGCCGGACTTACTTTTGAGGTAACATTGGTTTATCACACTGTAGGCTGTAGGTGATTCAGAGGCATAGGATCACACCTCCTCAGATGCATGTCACCACACCACACCAGCCACCAAGGTACCCACAGTTTCTATCTTAGTTCATTTCCCCCCCACTTCTTTATTATTATTATTTTTTAATTACAGGGTTTTTTTTTAAAAAAGATTTATTTATTTATACAAGCACTAGGGTACAGGGCATAGGCAAGGGAGGGTGAGAGAATTCACCAGAGACAGAGCAGGGAACAGAACAGGCAGAAGGACCAAAGTACACTGCTGAGGGGACCAGTGGGTGAGACAGGAGAGGTCTGCCATGCCATGTGGGAATCTCCTTGGCCGGTTGGGAATCGAACCAGCGCTGCAGAAGCTGCAGACAGCCCCACAGCGCTGAGCTCAACACTCTGCACCTCCAGGGAGGCCTGCCCCTCCTTTAAATGCATAAGAAGCAGCGTGAGTAAGTGGGGTCTAACACAGTCTTTCCAGCACTTTATTGGGTATTTTGCTTTTTGAGAAAATTGTTGTGCTGAGTAAGTCCAGAGCTGTTGTTCACTAAGCTAGCAGGTAGAACCTGTTCTAAATTCCAAAGCCTTTGGAATAGTGGCTTGGCTCCAGCTTCAGAATCATTGGTGAGAAAGCCAAATATTTATCTTACATGAATAAAAAAAGATATTTGTCTGTAACATGAATATCTAATGTACCCATACCCCCCCACCTCCCATTTTCATTTATGTACCAATGACTTGCTATCAGTGTTCACTAGTGCCAGCATTGTACTGAATATGAATTATATGTTCTCTGATACAGTCTTTGGTGAAGTGTTCTTGAAATAATGCTTTTTTCCCCCAATAGTTATCAGACCAGTTATTATGGCAACATTAAATTTTTTCATAGGATAAGTTTGAAGGAAATGTGACATTTAATGAAGTTGTGTTCAACTATCCCACCCGGCCAAACATGCCCGTTCTTCAGGGGCTGAGCCTCAAGGTGAAGAAGGGCCAGACACTGGCCCTGGTGGGCAGCAGCGGCTGTGGAAAGAGCACGGTGGTCCAGCTCCTCGAGCGGTTCTATGACCCCATGGCTGGGACAGTGGTGAGCAATTATCTTAAATTAGTAAATTTATTTCAAATGGCCAAACCAACAACTTCCATACTAGCACCATAGTCAGACATATATATATAGGGACAATGGGGCATATACAGTTAGTTCTCATTTATCATTATCAGTAGGTTCTTGAAAACTGTATCTTTAAGTGAAACAATGTATGATGAAACCAGGAGATCCTTGAGCAACTTCATTTCATTCAATATTGACCAGGATTCTCCTTTCCTCATCAATGTTGCAACAAAACATTGAATGAAATGTTTTTTGAGGACCTGTTGTATCTGGAATTTAGCATAACTCAGAAAACACTGAATATAAAGTTAACCTCTATCCTGCCTGGGCCTTGTGAGCCAACCTTATCTTCCTAAGTAAACGTTTACTTTGTGGCTTATAAAGATGAGCCACAAATTCATGTGAGAATTCTTTTTCTTTTTTTTTAAAGATTTATTTATTTATGCATACAAGAACTGGGGTACAGGCCAGAGATGCAGGGGATGAGAGGATTCACCAGAGACAGAGCGGGGAACAGAACAGGCAGACTAATGGAAATACACTGCTGAGGGGAGCAGCGGGCAAGACAGGAGAGGTCTGCTTCTCCATGTGGGTTGGTCCCTGCCTGGGCTGTGGATTTCTTCATGCTTAACCCCTTGCACCACCAGGGAGGCCCCTCATGTGAGAATTCTAAATAGACTCCCAGGCAGATTATTAGTTTATCTACTCCCACTTCCTTAAGCTTTGCCTTCTAGCTCTAGTTGTTCAATCTAGGACTTTGATCATCACCTCAAGCACGTTCACATTTGGTTTTCATCATTGATTTTCTGGTATCTAATTCATGACTGTCTTCCCAAGTGAAGATTTGGCTCTTACTGATAATGCCTGCTATTCCCATTACCTTGGGATGGCACCCATTGACCTTGCCCTGGGAGCCCATCCCTATTTAGATAATCACAAATGCATTAAGCCTTCTTTAGCTCTTTCTTTCCACCATGTGGGTTTCTCCCTGTCCTGCCAGGATCAAACCCGTGCTGCAGAGGCTACGGACAGCTTCACAGTGTGGCTCTCAACCGCCTGCGCCACCAAGGAGGCCCCTATGCTGATTTTTTTCCCTTGGAGTGCTTGAGGGAAAGGGGTAACTTCAGTTGAAAGTTCCAAGATATTCAGGGGATAACAGATACAGGTATGATATTTAAAGGCTGAGGATAGTACATTTGCTTAGAGGAGGGCAGATCAAGACAAAGAAAGGAATTTGGGAAAGATGGGATCAAATATGTACCACTTTGCTATACAGAGGAAGATAAGGGCTAGTCTAACCACCATAAAAAATTTTTTTTTGGTTGTGTTGGTGGTTATGAGGTTTGGGCTTTCACAAATTGCTGATGCCCACATGCAACAGTCCTCCAAATGGTTAACAAAGTCACCTTCTTCTTAAGCCCTTCTTATAGTTTGTGGACTTTGGTTTTCAGCTCCTAGATGGTCAAGAAGCAAAGAAACTCAACATCCAATGGCTCAGAGCCCAGCTTGGAATTGTGTCCCAGGAGCCCATCCTGTTTGACTGCAGCATTGCTGAGAACATCGCCTATGGAGACAATAGCCGGGTTGTGTCACGGGATGAAATTGTGAATGCAGCCAAAGCAGCCAACATACATCCTTTTATTGAGACGTTACCCAATGTAAGTTCTTAGGAAGAAATAGGAATCTACTGCAAACTGTTTCCTTCCTCAAAACTATTGTTATAAACCAACAAAGTCCTATAATAAACTTTTATTTGCTAACACCTTAGACAAGAAATTGAACTTTCATAGCACCAAGTTTCCATATTGGTACAAGGGAAAATTAGTCATGTCTACCTCATACAAATGCAATGAGAAGCAAATGAGACCCTAACTCAAAGCACCGTCTCTCAGGTTACAAACTGGAGATTATGGGCATCCAGACTGCAGCCATCTTTGGTTTATATCTTATGATACTTTCCTTTTAAATTTTGGGATGATTATAGATTCACCTGCAGTTACAAGAAATACAGAGATCTTGTCTTCCCTTCACCTAGTTTTCTCCAGTAACATCTTCGAAAACTATAATTCAGTCTTACAACCAGGGCATTGACATTGGTATAATCCACTTATCTTATTTGTTTCCCCAGTGTTACTTAGTTCTCTGCCATTTATTGCATGTAGAGACTCATGCAATCACCACCATAGTCAAGATAGAGAACATTTCCATCACCACAAAATTTCTTATATTGTCCTTTGATAGGCACATACCCTCCTTTCTGCCACCACCCACTGACTGTTGTCCATTTATATAATTTTCTAATTTAAGAATATTGTATAAACACACATACAGTATGTATCCTTTCGAGATTAGCTTTTTTTTCACTCAGCATAATATCTGAAGTTGTGTATCTAGAACTCATTCCTTTTATTGCTGAGTATTATTCTATTCCAACTTACTTATTCCCCTGTTGAATATCTAGTTTGTTTACAGTTTGGGGCTACTATGAATGAAGCTTTAATAAATATTTGTGAACCTAAGTGTTTATTTCTTTGGGACAAACACCTAGTGGTACAATTGCTGGAGCATATAGATTTTGCTGTATAAGAAACTGTTAAAATGTTTCCTGTGCCATTTTATCTTCTGACTAGCAAGTATGAGTGATAATTTCCTTGTGCCAACATTTACTGTTGTCACTATTTTTACCTTTCTGAAAGGTGTATAATACTCTCTCACTGTGCCTTTAATTTGCATTTCTTAATGGTAAATGATATTGAACATAATTTATTTACTGAACATCATTTTAGTTGGAAATTTTTTACTGTTGAATTTTGAGAAATGTTCCAATAGTTTAGTTTTTAGTGCTTTGGCAAATGTGTAATTGGAAGATATTTTCTCCCAGTCTGTTCAACCTGGCATCCAACTCCCCATTTTGTCTACAAAGGTTTATTTTTCTCCTCTTCTCCTTTTTCCGTCATGTCTCCACAATTTCTATTTCCTTCTTCTGTTCTTTTATATTAATAATATGTTGTATATACTACTATTTGATACTTATTTGACCTTGCATTAAATGATGTATATGTATGTTTTCTCTATAAATTCTCAGGGTAAGCACAAAGATATACTGTGTGTATCTCCCACAGTTCTTGGTATTAACAGGTGCTCAGTAAGTATTTAACAGAATGAATGAGTTTAAAATAGAGTAAATTAGGCTCTGTCAGTCATAAGAATATTTCAAATTAAACTTTTTAAGAACATCAAATATTAGCATTTAACCTTTTTAGCACTCTGGTAACATCAGATCAGTAGGCACTAGATAAGGGGAGGAATTCAAGAAGTTGTTGCTCAAATTTCTACTATAGAATACCATTGAGAATTAGTCACTAGTTTTCTAGTTTGCTTTTAAAAATGAATACTGTTAAATTTAAAAACTTGGCTCTAAACATTTTTTAAAGATATGTTTATTTATGCATGCAAGAGCTGGGGTACAGGCCACAGGTGTGGAGGGTGCATGAGAGGATTCACCAGAGACAGAGTGGGGAGCAGAACAGGAAGATCTACTGAAATACACTGCTGAGGGGAGCAGTGGGCAAGACAGGAGAGGTCTGCTACGCCATGTGGGTCAGCGCCCTGGCCAGGGACTAAACTTGTGCTGCAGTGGCTGCAGATAGCTTTATAGTGCTGAGACTTAACCCCTTGTGCCACCAGGGAGGCCCCTAAATACTTTTTATATGTAAAACTGATGGTCAACTCTTACAAAGTAAAAGTTTATTCAATATGCATTAATAATTTTGGGGAATAAATACTTCATTAACTTAATGGTTAACTTGCAGAAATATGAAACAAGAGTGGGAGATAAAGGGACTCAGCTCTCGGGTGGTCAAAAGCAAAGGATTGCTATTGCCCGAGCCCTCATCCGACAACCTCAAATCCTATTGTTAGATGAAGCTACATCAGCTCTGGATACTGAAAGTGAAAAGGTATGACCTACCCCATGTTCCATTTTATTTGTAAAACAGAAAGTTTTTGTGCTGTCAACCATGAAAAAATATGAACAGAAAAAAATTAATGTAGATAATGGCTATTTTGAAATAGGGTATTTTATTTCTTGCTATTATTTTCCAAATCTTCTAAAAATAAACTTTTTTAAAGATTTATTTATTTATGCATACAAGAACCGGGGTAGAGGCCAGAGGTGTGGGGGATGAGAGGATTCACCAGAGACAGAGTGGGGAACAGAACAGGCAGATTGACCAAAGTACACTGCTGAGGGGAGCAGTGGGGGAGACTGGAGAGGTCTGCTGCACCATGTGGCTAGCTCCCTAGCTGGGGATCAAACTGGTGCTTCAATGGCTGCAGATAGCTTCATAGGTTGTGTCTTAACCCCTTCTGCCACCAGGGAGGCCCCTCAAACTAAAAATAAACATTTTTATAAACACAAAAAAGTACTCAAAAGAAAAAAACCTATTTAAATAGCATTAACTGTAATCATAAAAAACTGGAAAATGAAATACTCAACAAAAGGGAACTATTTAAGTGTAAAATATTTTGTGACTACAAAAAAAAAAGTATTTCAGTAAATTTAAATACTTGTGAATATTATTTAAAGTGTGAGAACCCATTTTAGTATAATTAAAAAGCAGAACATACCTATGCAGTGTCAGTATGTAAATAAACATGCATAATGCACAAGAGTCAAAGAGATAAGAAAAGGTAATACTTTTTGCTAGAATGGTAAAAATTTTTAAATTCATGTAATGCTAAAATTTTTGTATAGAATTTTTGAGATAAAACTTCTGTTTGGATTTATCAATAGATTGTCCAAGAAGCCCTGGACAAAGCCAGAGAAGGCCGCACCTGCATCATCATTGCTCACCGCCTGTCCACTATCCAGAATGCAGATGTGATAGTGGTGTTTCAGAATGGTAAAGTCAAGGAGCACGGCACACACCAACAGCTGCTGGCACAGAAAGGCATCTATTTTTCCATGGTCAGTGTTCAGACTGGGACACAGAACTAATGAACTCTTGTATAAATATGTCTTAAAAATAAATTCAAGTCATTCTACAACTTTCTCTGACTTGTAAAAGAAATTTCTAGTTTAAGTCATCACAAAGTAGAGGTATATCCAGATCAAGTTAGGGCATCCAATTTGGTGCCTGATTTTGAAATTTAGGAGTTACAAGTGACACTTATCTAAATGAAGTGTGGATACAGCAGTCTAACTCTCCAGGAGTTGTCAGAAGCAAAAACAGAGCAAATTTCAGATATATATATATTAGTAGAATTAATGGAAGTCATGCACATAGGGAAAATTCTCAGGGTCCTGAATAATTGGGTAGATGACAGGATAGTTTGGGAACAATTTTACATGTGCAAAAGAAAAATAAATTAATAGACTGCTGTTACCCTTGGTAAATTTATGAATTATTCTGTTGAGGAATTGAGATTTTTTTTAAATGTATGATAAATCTGGGGAAACATCAGCATTCAAGAGAAAATGAAATTTCACTTAGCAAACTAACTCTGCAGGACATATGTTTTCCATCAAGCAAGAAAGAAGCATACCATTAAAAAAAATGTTTAAAACTCAGTGGAAATTGAGCATATTATCTCTTAATCCCATTGGAAACATTGGGAGTATCAGCAATAAAATGCTGCGTTTCTATGGCAACTGCACTTTTTTCAAATAATTCTAATTTTCCCAGATTATGAATTCACTTTTCCTTCAAGAAGGAATTATCTTTAAATGGAGAACAAGAAGACATATTCTAGGCAACCCTTGGAAACTAATCACATTAAAATTTTTTCCCTATAATTTTCTGCAGTAATATTAATCCTCATTGCTTTGACAGGTTTTTTAGGTCAGTAAACTATCCTAACCAAGTTTTATAATAGAATCGTTATTACCAAAGAATTCTTTTTCATGTGACCATATCTATCAGTGAGCTGAATTTCAGTTAACCAAGAGAACAGTGGGGAAAGGGGGAATATTGCTACACTGACTCAAAGTGAGCAAAAGTCAACCTACTCTGGTATAATTATTCCTCAAGTTGCCTGAGAAGGATCCTGGAGCATTTGCCCCTGGATATTTTTGATTCAACAGTATGATTTAAGGCCCAGTAATCTCTTTGTAAAAAAGTGGTCTGGATAATTTTTAACTGCAGGCAGGTTAGAGAATCATGTTCAAGTGTGAGTGACAAGAGGTTTCTCTGTAGGGGAGGGATTAGTCTCAAAAGTACTCAACCCTGAATATTTTAAAACAACCAACCAAATGATTCTAAATGTCCTGGCTTCAGGTTTACAAAATTGTACTAGTTAGGGAAAAGGTCCTTACCTCAGAGTTTATCTTCCTAATTCTATAGTAACATAAGGATATAGTAAATGCTAGAACCAATGCTCAATGTTTTCACAAAGAAATAATAAACCAGTCTTATTGAATTTAGAACACATGACAATATTTTTTAAAAAAGATGTATATAACCAGTACTTTAACAATAGTATAATCCTGATGGTAAATAGGTAAAAATACAGCCTCTATGAATCATATGAGACCTCTAGTGCTCACTCATTTACAGTTACAAAATAACTCTGCTGCTCCTTTTAGCAAGAGCTGAGACTTTTCCTCCAGCCCTTGAATCTGGACTGCCTTTGTAACTTGTTTCGCTAATATAATACAAAAGAAATGATATCCTGTGACTTCAGGGTCTAGGTCTCAAGAGGCCTAGCATCCTGCTAGCTTGTGCTCTCAGAATGCTCCCTCTGCCAAGTAGAGAAGTCTCAGCTAGGCTACAGAGACCACATGGAGAGAGAGTCCCAGCCACCATGTCCCCAGACAGTGGATGAGGTCATTTAGATTTCCAGACTCAGTCTAGAATTCTGGTGATTGCAGTTCACTAAAAATAATCAGGCGAGACCAGCAGAACATCCATCCCACAGGGCACAATTAACTGACATAATAATGAGAAATAACTGTTTTTAAGAAACTAAGTTCTGAGTGTATTATACAACCATACACTACTGAGATCACAAAGTATAAGGTCAAACAAGAATAAATCAATTAAACACAAAACAAGAAGCTATATGATTTTGGGAGCTTTATTTTTTGAGAGTAGAAACTACAAAATTGAACAGAGGAGAAAATAAACTGTAAAATCCTGAGAATCTGATTTAACATTTAATCCTTTTAAGTCACTAACAACTAATTTTAAATATAGTGCTTATTTTTATAGTCACAAAACTAACTACATATACTGTAACAGATTTTGTTAAGGATTTTTGTGTGCCTGAGGGTGTACCTCTTACTACAACCTAATTCTTCTGCCTGTTCAACAGAAACTGTCTTTATTAGATCACCATTAAATTAGAGAGGTCTTTTTCAAACATATTAGGTTTATATCCCAGTGGTAAAGGTGGAAGTCATCGATTTCAGCAAAATTACCATCTATTCATGTATTTCATACTCTTGGAAAACTAGAAAATGTTAAAGTGCTTGAAAGATAAGACTACAATGATACTCAGAGAGGATTTATAACTTACATAGGTATCGACAAAAATATTTCAAAGTAAGAGTAAGACTTGCATTGTTAAAATTTTAAATTTGCATTGTTGAGGCTTAAACTTTGCATAGTTCTACATTCACTCTATCATAATTTGCATTACTACGGCACCAGAGGAAGCTTAAAAATATTTCTACCTTCTAGGTCGGAATAAATTTAGAGAGCATGATTCTTCTAATTTCTACATTTAACACATTTCCTTCAAGTCTCACATCACGAACCCACCCCCAGCAGCCAGTTTACGAATATTTTGGTAAGTGCTTAATAAATGATTAATCTTTAAAGATGAGCAGTGTTCATCAGCTGCATCATATCATGGAAAGCACAAAAAATCTGCTGAACTAGCTTTTCTGCATCAGTCTCTGGATGTGATTTCCAGGCAGAACAGGCCACAAGAAACCTGTGAAGCACAAATAATAAAAGATTAAGTATTATGCAAAAATCACAACACAAAAAGGCTCCAAATGTTGATGTGATCAGTATGTGACCTTTAGTCCATCAGGCTATGCATATAGGATATGTGCTGACATTAGGTGAATGTCACCTGGCACCTTTAAAGGTAAATTCATATTTATACATAATGCGAGGAACATCCAAGTTACTAGTGACTAGCTCCTAAGGATGACAGGAAATGAACAATTAGCCAGCACTCAAGACTGCTCTGGAATAAGGTCTTGCTGTGTTAAATAAACCCACCTTGTCCAAATAAATAAATAACTGTCCTAACGTACCCAAAATAGAATGAGTTGGAATATTTGTATTGAAATTGAAACTATTTGTAATGAAATTGAAACTTTTTTTTAAAGAATAAGAATATAGTGCTTGGAGAGGGTAACAAATAAAACAGAAAAAGAATAACTGGAAAGAAAAGCACTTTCTAGAAATGCCATTGCAAACTCTCTTGGACTAAGTCAGGTCATGCCTTCCACCATTTCCTTCCAGAGCCTGTTTATGAAAAATTCCCTGACAGGTGATAAAAGTGACCCCAGGAAGCTATGGAAATAAAAAGAAAAGCCTTGCTTCTGGTAGACTTTGTGTAGAAACCAGGCTAGATCCCCTTTCCAGACACTCAAATTTTCTGTAGCAAAAAATGCACTGAGCTCAAATTAAAACCAAAATATTTTATACAATATAAAGCTTGTGGACAACCATGCAATTTTCACATAATCAAAAAACAGTAAATTATAGCTTTGACATGTACTTTAGATTAGCAGAATGAAATAAAAACATGCTCTGGCTGGGTATATAAATGAAATCAATGTGAGTGGATTATATTTGCTGAAAGACATTCAGGGCCAAACCTACAGAAAATCCTGCTTTGTTTCCCCCTAGTGATTTTCCAGCTACACAGTGTATATAATTCTCAAATACCTATTTAGTAGTAACTAATTCTTTGCAAAGATTAATTCCTATTAAAATACTATATTTTTAAAAATTTTTCATTGTTTTCCAAAATTATATAAAGAAATAACAACCTTTTCTAGATGTACAATTCACAAAATGTACACAGATGCCAATAAAGAAAAAAATGTTTGCCTCATAAGTAAACAAAGAATTCAAGCTGTTATTTTTGCTTATCTACTTTGTAAGGAATGTTTCATAATGCAGAGTTGGCAGTAGTGTGATGAACAGGTATATTATACATTACTTGTAATGACAGGAAACTGGAAATAATAGGGAAGTAGTTAAACTATGGAAATCTATAAGATTACACATTATTCAACAGTTAAAATATTTCAAAGTACATTTAATGGCATTGGGAATTGCTTGAAATAATATTGAAGATGAAATTCACAAAAAGATGCAAAAATATTTGCAACTTGCTCTAAATTGGTAAACATACACAGTCTATATACATTATGCCCTGGAAATGTTCAATAATAGCATTAAATATCTATTTTTCTAATGTCAGAATACTGGGGTATACCTTGACCCAAATTCTTACCATCGTATACAATACAGAATCCATTACTTGTCAGGAAGTATGTTAGAATGCTTACTTATTCTTTGTGTCTAATGATCTTAGACCTCTAACTATTATGAAAATGGATAATAAGATCCATGTTTAACTTTTTTCAATTTACCTTTAATTTGTGAATTGGTACACACATAATGAATGCTATACATCATCTAATGACTTAGATGCTAATGAGTACATGTACCATTGGTGTAATGGAGTATGCACAAATCACACTTCACATGTAGACAGATAAAGTTTTGAAAAAATAATACTGACTATAAACTCTTCTACAAGGAAAAAATAAAAAATATATTAGAAGCTGAAATGTTATATCATCATTCTAATTTTTCACATTTCATCTGAAGTGCCTTCAAGCCTGCCCTTCTTTTATTTACATAGTGCTAAATGTAGCCATTTTATAAATATTTTTATAAAGCCTCTCATGCTGTGAATGACACCCACGAAGAGGCTGCCAGATTGTGTGAAGATGGACTTTCTAAGCCTTGTTATCAATTTCATATTATCTTTTAGTCCTCTTAGATTTCAATAGTTTCTTTCTCTTTGCACAAACTTAAGCCAAACTTTCTACAAACCAAATGAAATGCATCTGAATTGGTAAAACACATTTTTAAACTATTAGTTAATCTCATTATTAGTATCAATGACTATGTGAGCTACCACATTATTGATAGCCAGTCAAATTTTATCTGAATGTACGATGAAATACCTTAGGAAGTACAACTATGTTAATACATATACTGATTTTTGAGAAGAGGGAAGATATGATTTTGAGACAACCTTAAATGGTGTTCTGCACAAAACCTCCAAAAGACTGATTAAACAAGTGCCTCAAAAGCAGAACGGTGATAACACATAAATATAACACTTATGGATAAGTGATAAAAACAAATACCTATGTAGCAGGTGACAGATGACAAACAATGAGAACTGTAATGTAAGTAAGATATTCATTCAACAAAAATCATGTTTCTTATGCTTTGGCACAGTAAAAGTAACAAGAGCAGCCTCACCTGTCATCTCTGATGTGGTAGAAAAATCCATAGCCGTGGTGTACCATGGGAACCACAACTCCCAGGATCCTCATATAACCAACAAGACTTGTTGAGAGAACAAAGTTTCCACCTCCTCCACTGTGTGGCATAAAGATAGGACATTTTACTAGGCCTATAGAAGTTTATCTTGTTGCTAAAGAGTTTTTTTTAACATTCAGGAAAAAACTAAAAGAAGTATGGATGAAGCCATAAAACACTATATATTAATATCACCTTTTGAAGAAGAGTGGGTCTGTAAAGAGCTCTGGGACTGGAAGGCCTTCCTCCTTGGCTATCAGTAATAAACCTAAAAGGTGACGGTCAAATCCTGCAACGAAACCCCAAGTCTGAGATTAGAAAAAATTTTTCAAGAAAAGAGAATTTTTTAAAGAGTTAAAATAATTCCAACATCACTACCTTTTCCAGAAGAACAATCTTTCATCATTTTATTATGTTTTGCAAAAGCTTGTAACATCTTTTGCTGCCGTTCAAGAAGCTGCATTAAAAATCAAGACATTTTAATAGCATGCTGTACAGAAACCAAACAAATAAAAAACCTGAACTCAATATAATTAGGATTTGGGTACTCTAGAAGAGGAAAAAAAATGATTTCTAGAAAGACCTTGAGGCAAATACTTCCATGTCTTTTTCCTTCTTCTATTCCCTTTCCTATATGCTGTGTACCTTGATTATTTCTTTCCCAGACAGGAAAATAGGAACTTGTGGGCAGCATTGAAGTGACATTACCAAATGTTTAAACAGAAGCAACTAGGATTTCAAAACTAAAGCATGGTTGTAACAAAACCAGTAATGAAGCATTCCCATGAAATTAAAGTAAATTGACATATGCAAGTCTATGAAAATTAAGGAAACAAATGCAATACCAAAACAACAGGGAAGGAACTACCCTGTTGTGTGAATGCTTTCAAAAAAAGTACAAAACAAGATATATAAGCCTGTCATGAGTCTCATATATGATTACAAGTATGTGTGATCTCTAAAACATTCAACTACATGGAGAAAAGCTTTCTCTTAAAGGCATTTTGTAAGAGTCTGCACTTTTGTGTTACTTTAAAGCTAAATCAATAGTGGGGAATTATTTAAGGCACTGGATATATTTTCCTTAGAAAGTTACCAAATGGGTGTTTTAGGACTTCCGCATTTCTCATTCTTTCCATGTATGTATGTCAGTGGTAAATGAACAAATGTTTTGAAAACTTTAAGGAAAAAAATTCTGAAAGTATTCTTCTGATCCAGGGGAACTGAGTCAAAGAAGTTAGTCAAGGGTCAAGGTTCCTTTAAAACAATTAAAAAAAATTCTCTGAATTTTTTCTTTTCAAATACTCACACTGCTGGAAGGGTCCTCCATGGACTGGCACCACCTGACTGCTTCTACTGTACACGATCGTGTAGTCTCTGTACGGCCATGATAAAAATATCTTGTCATAGCTGTTTCATAGCAGCATCCAGGGCTACAAGATAAGAGAATGTACCCTATGAATAGACATTTTATAGACAAGATATACAAACTGACAAATAGACAAGATATACAAACTGACAAAAACACAAGAACAGATACTCAACCTCATTTGTCATTAGGGAAAAACAAAAACCACGAGACATCCTTTCACAACTACTAGAATGACTAATTTTTTATAAACAGAAAAATAAGTGTTGGCAAGGATATGAAGTAACTGGAACATCTGTCTATTGTTGACAGGAGTGTAAAATAGCATAGCCACTCTGGAAGATATTTTGACAGCTCCTCCCTCAAAAAGTTAACAGAGTTACTACACAACAAAGCAATTGCACTCATAGATATAGAATTGAGAATAGAGACTCAAGCACATACTAGCACCAAATGTCATGCCAGCATTATTCACAATAGGCAAAAAGTCAAACAAGCCAGATGTCTATCAGATGAATAGAGAAAAAAAACTGTGTGTGTGTGTGAATCTATCTATCTTTCTATGAATATTATACGTCTATTGTGTACATATATATACATATATAAGACTATTATTTAGTTATAAAAATGAAGTTCTAATTCTACAACATTGATGAACTTTGAAAACATCATCCTAAGTGAAACAAATCAGACACAAAATGACAAATATTGTGTTCTTCTTACAGGAAATATCTACAACAGGCAAATTCATAGAGATAGAAGTATATTAGAGATTACCAGGGGCTGGAGAAGTGGGTATGGAATAGAACATTACTGCTTAGTGTGTAAAGACTTCTTTTTTGGAGTGACAAAAATATTTTTTAAATAGTGGTAATGTTTTCATAACATTGTAAATGTAATTACTATCATCAATATATACTTAAAAATGGTTTCGGTGGCTTTTTCCCTTTTGCGGCCATCGCTGAAGCACTGGCGGCCAAAATGAAGTTCAATCCCTTTGTGACTTCTGACCAGAGCAAGAATCGTAAAAGGCATTTCAATGTGCCTTCCCACATTTGCAGGAAGATCATGTCTTCCCCTCTTTCCAAAGAGCTTAGGCAGAAGTACAATGTTCGTTCCATGCCCATTTGGAAGGATGATGAAGTTCAGGTTGTTTGGGGACATTATAAAGGACAGAAAATTGGCAAAGTAGTCCAGGTTTACCGGAAGAAATATGTCATCTACATTGAAAGAGTGCAGTGGGAGAAGGCAAATGGCACAACCGTTCATGTGGGCATTCACCCCAGTAAGGTGGTTATCACTAGACTAAAGCTGAACAAAGACCGCAAAAAGATCCTAGAACGCAAAGCCAAATCTCGCCAAGTAGGAAAGGAAAAGGGCAAATACAAGGAAGAAACAATTGAGAAGATGCAGGAATAAAATAGTCTTATATACAACTTCCATTAAAAACTGCTAAAATGAAAAAAAATGGTTTAGGTGGCAAGTTTTATGTTACATAGTTTTTACTACAATAAAAAAGACAATTGAATGCTTAAGGCAAAAGTAATAATAGAACATTGAAAGGTTTAACACATACATGGAAGTATAAAGTATGGCAACAACAGCACAAATAGTGCGAGACGCAAAATAGAAGCATTTTTTCTTAAGGTTCTTATATTTGACATGGAAAATATTTGAAGGTAAAGAGAGCAAAGATGTATTCTATAAATCTTAGTGTAACTACTAGAAAAAACAAAAGTAAAGCTAACAATGGGAATGAAATGGAAAATTTAAAAAACCCCTATGAATTCAAAAGAAGATAAAAAAGAACAAAAACAGATGGTTGAAGAGAAAATAAACAGCCTGACAATATAGATCTACACCCAACCTTATTGATAATTACATTAAATGTAAATGATCTTAAGCATTCCATCTAAAGACAAATGTGGGGGGAAAGCAAGATCAAGGAGCTTCAGCTTCTGCTTAGGGTGTAGAAAGCCACAACCTATCATCTCATCTACTCTAAAAATGAATAAAGACTGAATAAGGTACAAAATTATAGCAAACTGAAGCTGCCAGGGGAAAATCAAATGATCTGAATTCCAAAAAATAGCAAAGTCCCTTTAGAAGAGGGTAGACACTTCAAAAGTACTAAGGCCAGAAAAAACAAGGGAAGACTGAATCTGTCACAGATCAAAATTCTACTACACTGTCGACATGCTGAGAAAATAGACATTTGTAGAGGTTTAAACCTATAACTCCCAAAGATACAATGATGTAAACCAACTTTACCTCAATAAACATAATCAAAAAAAATTTTAACTCTACTACACTGTTGATGGAATCACAAATCATGACACAGTGCCAAATGGAACATATGTTAGGAAGAACACAGGTGTTAGGATGGAATAGCTGTAGTAAAGATATTCCCTTGAACTTCAAGATTCTTTAAATGCAGAATGAATGGTGCTCACCGTCCATGAAGTCTGTAATAGGCTAGCTGAAGAGCAAGCTGAACAAATGTATCAGGGTGAAGCTTCTCCTTCTTGGTTTGCTTTTTGCCAAAAGATGTAAAGGCATATGCTGCAACCTGCAGGTCAGATGCCTAGCAAAAAGAATCAAATAGAACCGTGAAAAATCACCTAAAGAGAAAATCCAAAAGATATCCAAATTATCATTTGCATTAAAGCAGTCAGCCATAAAAATTTAGCAGTATTAAAGCTATAATTTAAAAATGTTTTTGTTGTCACCCTTGGATTGTAGTCAAACTTCTATATGTGGCAGTTATAAGAGGAAGCATTACTAAGAAAAAAGCATAAAATGTACCTGCTTGAGATACTGGGCTTTAGCTTCACTGACATCATTTAATACTCTCTTATCCACAGTGAAAACAAGTTCCTCTGGATGTGGTATGTTCCGTACTTTTTCTGAACCCTGAAAATAGGGAACACTTAAAAATAGTGTATCTATAAAAATACTAGGAGAAAAAGGATGAAATATTTCTGTAACATACCTTCCATCTTCCTTCATTTTCAAAAACCTTCTCATCAACATAATTGCTGATGTTTACCATAACCATTGCATCAAAAGGAGCATGCTAAATGAAAATACACAAAATTTTGAAGACTTCATGTCAAGGTAAACCTACCCCAGTATTTTATTTTCATTTTTCCTCCATTCTTAACACATAATAAAGTGCACAATTTTCAAATTCCTTGCCCCCAATTGACACAGGTATGGATATCCCACAGTATAGTAAGTAATTACTATATTATATTTTCTAAGACTTTGGTGAGCATTAAAAAGTATAATGATTTTGGGTATATCTCTGTAAGAGTTCTGACATGGCAGAAATCACTCTCACATCTTAAGGAATATGGGTAAATGGGCTGAGTTACAGGGGAGTTGCAGATCTGACAACTCTATTTAGAGAAAGGAACTGTAGCTAGTGAATTTTTTCATTTATTTTGGAAGATAAATTTTTTGCTTTATTTTTCTCATGTTCTTTTGAAGACAGTTACATCAGATTTTTTCTTCCCTGCATTCATACTACCATGATACCATTACCATCCATGAACTGAATGTGACTCTGAGCCCTGGCAAGAAAGAAGGGATCCTAAGATTTGGGCCCAGTTTCAGAGAGCAATTAGGTGTCTAATATATCACCCTAATATTACACAGCTCTGCTGCCCTATTTCATGTCCCAATGCAACCCAGAAGCGCAGGATACTGTTACCAAGTAGGTACCAGTCATGGCATTAGGTATGACTCATGAGGGAGTCAATACAAGTTGGATGAGCAGCTCATCCCTCCTGTCCGCAATACTCAACAATACTCAAGGTCACTGACAAACATCCCTTTTCTAATTGCATCTCACAAATGTATAATGCTTTAACTCTTTAGAAAGAATTTTCACAGATACCACATATTTAAGACAACAGCATTACTCTCTAATTAAATGCCCACCTATTTCTCAGTGTAAAGTTAATAATCAATTTAAAAATATTATACATTTAAATATTACATATTTAAATGTGTAAGAATGTTACACATTTAAAATATGTATGCTTTAGGAAATATGAAAAATACTTTGGTGCTGAATTTGTTCAAACAACATTTAGCTTTTTGTTTCATTTATTGGAGCCATTATGTTTTAAAATACTATTTAAGAATGTGGGTTTTGGTTCTAAGTACAAACTAGATCACTTCCTAGGTGTGCAACTGTGAGAAAGTTGCTTAATTCTTTAAGTAAACTTCCTCATCTGATAATGAGAATAATAATAACTTTTTTCAGATAGCTGCTGTCAAAAATGATTTTAATAATGTTTCTAAAGTGCTTATTGTAGAACATGTTCCACAGGTTTAACTAGAAATGGCTGTTACTAACAACTGTTATTTATTACATCTTTCCTATGTGCCATTCACAAAACCCTACAACACAAAACCTATATACTGAAGACAAAAGACCTGACCTTAGCATTTTAAATCCTGAAGGGGGAATGTGATTAATCAGTATAATCACAAGAGTACCAATTCAATCACCAGCAGAAGAGAGCAGCAACATGGCCTTGGATTAAGGATAGCTTTACTGTATATATAACTTTACTAATGATGTTTTACATAGATTAAATGGCACTTTATGCAATCATTTTCAGTTATAAGGGAAACCTACATGAAGCAAAATATAAAGTGGAGATTATCAGATTTTTGTTATACATGTGAATATTAATGCATATACACATAAAAGAAGTTCATTCACTTACAAGAGGAAAGTATCTCAATTGTGCTGAGATTTATGCGCATTATGGGACCATATTCTTTAATCAGAGATATAAAAGATAATTAAAGTTATTTTTATCCTCAGATTGAAGGATGTTGGTACTCTTAGTAAAAAACAAAGTAGACCAAGGTGTTTTCCTAATGGTCTGGGAGTAATGGGGGGAAAATGATTTCTTCTCTATGAGGACAGCAACTTATCCTTATTTAATAATATAACATCCAGTTTGAACAATTTAACATACAAGAAAATACAAATCTTAAAATGAGAAAAAAGGTAAAAACTGGGAAAGTATAACTGCAAGCTACCTATATAAAAATGGTTAATGAAAAAAAAAAAAAAAGAAAAGAAAAAAAAGGTTAATGAAACTATTAAGCCAGGGAAACAAGACATGGGAATGGAGGGGGTGTGACAAATTTTAAGGTCAGTTTTAGAATATATAGGTAGGAAAAGACTAAGGGTCTTGGAGTTAGGGAGGAAAGATTATTTCTTCTTGATGAGGACAGCGACTTACCCTTATTTAACAAGATAACATCCAGTCTGAACAATTTAGCATACAAAAGAATACAACTCTTAAAGTTCCAAAGATCATTTGTCCTTTTAGGAAAATAGCTACATAATTACTAGGTAAATTTAGAAAGATAGCTACAAATATTTTTCTGTGCATAGAAACACAATGTTATTCAGTATCTTTTAAAATAGATTGTAATTTTCAACAGATAACAGAGGGTTTTAATGGCCTTATGCTTCATTAAAAAAACAAGCAAATTCTACTTGACAAATAGGCACCAAACTTTAGCTGTAGTATAGATGAAAGTATCTTGTCCTATACTCTCTTTCACTCATATTTCATAGTAAACTTTTTACTCCAAAGTCATAAATTAAAGACGTATTTACTTGCACTACCACAGTACAGCCTAAGTATTATACTTTCTTGCTATTAAATTAACCTAAAAAATTAAAAGGCAAAGAACACTTCAGTAGCTTACTTACATCACAATTACAGCCAAATACTCCATTAGAAAAGGAAATCAAGTTATAGGATTTATCACCCCAGCGCACTGTTGGATTTCCAATAAGAGTCATTGCAGTTGCCTAAAAGAAAACATTTCCAAATTAAAAGAACTTTAATCTTGATTTATAAGTATTTACATCTTAAATTGTATATCTATATAGCTATTATCTATATCTACATATCTATCTATCTATCTATGTATCTGGTCTAACTTTTCACTTTTCCTTTTCAGGTAAACCAAATTTAATAAAATGGTTAGTAGTTATGCTCAAGTGATAATAATAATTCTGGCCCTGGCTTTAGATATTTATCAAAATCTCAAGTTAAAAAATCTGATTAGAAAAAGAATGATGGTATAATATCCATGGATGCTTAGAGGACATGCAGTTGAAAGGACAAGTCTTTTCTAATTTGAGTAGTATCAGAGACCTTGATAAGTTTTTGGCCCAGTAGTGTTCAAATAAATTTAGTACATTACAATAAAAATTCTTCACAGGAAGAAAGAATAAAATAGAATTTAAATATCAGATACATCACAAATAATAAAAGTAATTCCTGTTTTGTGAAAATTCTATTATGTATGTGTGAACATACCATGTGTCTGTGTATATAGGCTTAATATAAATGTATTTCAAACTACAGATTGCAGTAAAAAAAAAAAAGAAACAATACTATATTAAAATATATTCTTCTCCAAGAAGTTTAGTGAATTCCCTGTTTAAAAAAAAATATAGCTAAAGAAGAGGAAAATTTGGTTTCTAAGATACCAGGGTTTTCAATCCTGTATCTATCATTTAATATTGATGAATGCATTATGAAAAAATTATTTAGTGTTTTCAAAAGACTATGAGACTTCTATATATATACTACTACCTTTTATCATTTTTTAAGAAATAATAAATATTGTTGCCACAGGGGGGAAAAATAACATAGGCCACATTTACCTTTAAATTCATGAGAGTCAGTATATTCAATAAAACTAAATGATAAAGTAAATTCCTTTCAAGAGCTATATAATGTTTAGAGCAGAACTCACCATCTAAGGTGTCAGGCACAACCTGCACAAATTATAAGTAGATTCTCATGTCACCTTTGGCATGAGAAGCTCATTTAGCCCAGTGGCCTGTCCAAATTTTCTATACATGCAATTAAAAAAAAAAAAGTCTGGAAAATAATGACATGTGATAATCAAACTATATTCCTACTTCTTTAAATAGCATACAAAATACATCTAAATGTACCTGAACAATGTGGCAAGAATTTGCAAACTGCTATGTATACATAGCATGTATATATCATACCTAAGAAAAACTTTTAAGAGCTGTAAAAATAAAAAAAAATAAAAAATAAAAAAGACTTTCTCATCTTCCATGTATACAAGAGAACACCAACTGAATTTGTAGGAAGAAATAACAGATGATGATAGGTAACTACCTGGGAGTAATCTTCCGGTGTTACACGCGGACTGCTGTCCTCTAAGGAAAACACCAGTAAACTGCTCTGAATCTTTTCTAATAGATTCAAGTTCTCTGGATCAAGACTAATCAAATATTCTCGTGCCTAAAAGTCAAGAAATAATGATTAAATGTCACATATTGAATACAACATATCCAGAAATCTCAAAATAGTTTGTTGGGGAAAAGGATCATTAAGAAAATTATGAATATAACCTTAGCCCATCGCGTTCTCTCCTCACTAGTTAATGCTGCGATCCCAGGTCCTTCAGGCTCACTGTTGCACTTCTTGTGGATGTATGTCAAATGCCTTGTGGAATATTAGCAAAGAGGATTCAAAAAGAGCACAGGCAGGTCACTAGCTACTTTAGCCTTCAATAGGTCACAACAGATAGTAATTCTTATCACTAAAAAAATAAATTTAACCAGTCAAAAATCTGCAGAGGTTTTTGGCACATGCTAAAAATTTACCTCAATTTAAAGCTTCCTAGGATTTCTCAGAAAGTGAGTTAATTAGCTTAGTTAATGATACTACTGATAGCCATCCTTTATTTGTTGTTTCATCATTCAGAATTAGAAAAATACAATTATTCATTTGCATCATTTCATCTGATCCTTAATTATTTCTGTAACACTTATTAAGAAATAAGTTACTTGCTGCAAAATGCCCCCCTCTTTATTTGAAGACAGTGGTGTCCCATGGAACAGATGAGCACTTCTAACATCTGCACCTATAGTGGGGATAACTTGCCTTGCCTCTTTCTGCTTGTCTTTGCACATTACTGATTTTGCTTCAAGTACAAATAAAGTTTCTACAGTTTGTAGTTATGGTGGGCATAACAATTAGTTATATAATTTAAATTCTGAATGCTAAAATAGTAAAATCTACCTGTTTTCCTCCATGTAGTTCTGGAGAACTTTCTCCAAAAGTTCTGGAGAACTTTTGCCAGCTCAAAGTTTTGATTATGAAATTTTTCCTGTTCCCTGATTTGGCCATATTAAGTGAGAAATGGCCAGCTCATGAAAGGCAGTTATTATCAGAGAGAAGTTACCAGAGAAAATGTGTTAAATCTGAAATAGCATTTTAAATTTGATAATTAAAGGTGAGGTGATAATTACCCAAATCTTCACCATTAAGAAGTCTACACTTCTATACTACCCCAAGTGATGTAGATTCAATATAATTCCTACCAAAAATCCAATGACACTCTTTAAAGATATAGGAAAAAATCCTAAAATTCATATGAAATGATAAAGAATTCTGAATAGCCTGGGTAATTTTGAATAAGAGAAACGAAATAGGAGATATCACACTTCCTGATCTCAAAATATATCACAAAGTTATAGGATTCAAAAGATGTATAGACCAATAGGCCAGAATAGAAAGCTTAGAAATAAAACCATACACATACAGCTAACGGATCTACCAGAAGGGTGCCAAGACTATACAATAGGCAACAGATATTCTCTCAGAAAAACGGTGTTGGGAAAACTGGAACATCACAGCCAAAAAAAAAAAAAAAGAAAGAAATTGGATCCCTGTCTTACACAATACACAAAAATCGGTTCCAGATGGATTAAAGGCTTAAATGTAAAACTTGAAATTAAACTCCTATAAGAAAATATGGGAGAAAAACTTCTATACATTGTTTTTGGCAATCATTTCTTGAATCAGATACCAAAAGCACAGGCAACTAAAGTGAAAATAGACAAGTGTGATTACCTCAAACTAAAAGCTTCTGTACAGTGAAAGGAACAAAGTGAAGACACACAAAGAAATATTTATCATGAAAGGATATTATGTCTGAGATTTTCTTTAAAATAATCCATGGGGGTGTGAGCAAGGAGCACAAGGAGATACAGTTGAAACGAAACTATGAGTTTACAAAATAAAGCTAAGAGTTGGTAACTACTAAAACTCTGAGACGAGTACTTCATGGCTTCATTATGTAATTTCCCGTACATTCTAAATTTTTTCATTATACACTTACAACAATAAACACAGAAAATAATTCTATATGTACATAGTATATATATTTCTATATGAATATGCTATTTGCATGTACGTAATGCATACGTTGTATAAAATACACATATATATTCTTTTTTTAAAGAAATCTTTATGTGCATGTAAATTCAGTGCAATGTATCTGAAAGGACAGAATACACCAAATTAGCACAGTGACTAATTCTGGGGCAAGTATTAGAATTGGGGTTTTCCTTTTCTATAAGCACAATGACTTACATATGTCGCAGGGCAGAGTCCTGGCTAATGGTGTGGGCAACACTATGCTCTGCTCCAGGAAGCAGGGGACTTAACTTGGGACATACACTGGATTGTAAGATTTTTGAAGTTTCAATTATGATTTTTAAAAAATTAGAAGTTCCCCAAAACAAATTAAACTAAAAATACATTGTTAAAAATCAATATATATAAAATTCTTACTTTTCAGTTTACTGTCACTTTATAAAAAGGTATTTCTGAACATTTCTTTTTCAATTTAAGCAAAAGCTTAAGACCTAACGAAATTCAAGAAAGTAGCTTGAAAACCTCAGAATCTCTGGCGGGGTGATCAAACTTCCTTCATGCATTGCATCAAAGACAAAAACTCGGCCTCGACACAGAATTGCAACATGACTTGGAGAATGCCCTTCACTCTCTGGAAAAAGGACAGAAAAAAAAAAAAACTCAAATCTTTCATTACATCCAATAGGGGAAAAAATAGCGTTGTTGCTGCAATATTTATCATATACTCATCAAATATATCACATAAACAAAAGCACTCTCATAAGTTAATGGAATTTCAGTTACTATGATATAAATGCATGCTCTTGAAACCTGTCCATGTGAAACATCTATAAATCCACGAAGGGTTCCAATTATTCTTTGAATTATTAAAGAATAATAAAATCCAAACTACTGCAGCGTTTTCTAGCTTTAATTAAGGATAGGAATGGGGAAGGGCAGCAGAGAATTTCTGAAGGAAAGCTATTTGAATTAACCAGTTTCTCTTTCTTATTATTTTAGTGTTGATTGCTCATCAGATAATTTAATTGCAGTATTACATAACTACAACTGCTAAATAGTTTTCAGTAGAGTAAGAGCACAATATGCCTGAGGAACAAAAAGAAAGAATTTCACACAATCTTACTTTTTCTTATGGTTCTAATAATATCTGGTAAGCCACTGATAGTTGATTCTGCAATTCCTTCAACACACCTTAACCCACTCCCCCCAAAAACTATGTGTGCTGTAAATCTCAGACTATTTTGATTTATCCCCATTTTCAAGTAGTACTAGTCCCTTCAACAAGGGTTTTCCTGCATGATCCTGAGCCTTTCTTCTGAGAAAGGACAAAAGAAAAGAGTGAAGAAAGAGAAAACATACACTGCCACTGGAAAGATATTTACTGGCTGATATTATGTACAAGGAACTATAGTAAATGCTGTATGAATATTCAAACATGAAATTGAAGCTTGGGGGGTGGTGCTCCATAGTTCCCACTATTCAAAGCATCCTATCTCTAGGCCCTATTCTTTTTTTTTTTTTAAGATTTATTTATTTATTTATACAAGCGCTGGGTACAGTCAGAAGCGCGGGAGGGTGAGAGAATTCACCAGAGCCAGAGTAGGGAACAGAACAGGCAGACTGACGAAATACATTGCTGAGGGGAGCAGAGGGCGGCAGGAGAGGTCTGTCGTGCCATGTGGGACCCTCGCCCAGCAGCCGGGATCAAACTGGTGCTGCAGAGGCTGCCGGCAGCTTCGCAGCCCAGTGCTCAACTGCTGTACCACCAGGGGAGGCCCTCTAGTCCCTATTCTTACCTAACTTTCTACTAATCTTTACCAGTAAGGTATTCTAGCTGACCTTGCTAATCTGGCCATAAAGTTTGCCTGGTGTTTTCAGCAGATACTGGTTTCCCAGTAAGTTCCTCATACGAGGACCTTTGAGAAGAAATCAAATTATATGTTCCAGATTTCCTAATACTCTGATTCATAATTCTATTCTTTAACTAAAATTTAAATTCTCAAATATGCAACACAGCATCAGGTTTGCAAAGAATCAAGTAAGGCACAGTTTAGAAAATCCATTACCAATAATGCTCACAGAAAACCTATGATTACTCAAAATCCAATTTAGAAATATTCTTCAAAATAGCATGTTCCAGTGTCAGATTAGGAACCACAGCAAAACTCACCAAATATCAATTCTTTTAAAAGTACCTGTGTTTTCTACTTACCAGTCCTAAAATAATTCTTTATTGAATCTCTAGTAATTCCTGGAACTTTGCAGGTAGAAAATAGCATTCGGAACTGATTCATATCTAGAGGAGTATTTCCAACTTTATGAACAGGCAATTTTTCTCTATAAAAATTTAAAACAAAAAGATATTTTGATCAAGAAGTCAACATAAAACTTATAAACCAAATAGTCATAAATGTAGTATTCATCCCCAAATAAGTAAATTAAACTTTTCAACATTTTGCCACCTCAGACTTTTGGTAAATCTGTTACAAACTCACATAAGTATCCTTACTTTCTTAAGAGCTGCCAGTAGTTCAAGTTATGCCAAAGACTTATACTTCCTCTTTCTAACTGAGTGCCTTCCTTTGGAGGCCAGTAGTGCTCAACATGGGCTGCAGGACCTGCAAAGTTGACATTTAGCTGCGATGGTAAACGAACATCCAGGTAGGCAACATTCAGCCACCATTCTTCCAGCTAGAAAAAATTATGAACATCAGCCTGAAGCTCTTAATATAACACTATAATGCAACTTCTGGTTAAAAAAAAAAACAAAGATGTACTTAGGATATTTTTCTTTACTCTTCAATATTTAAAAATACATTTTCTTATTGTAAATCATCATAGCTACCAAAAAAACACTATTTTAAAAAAATATTTATTCTTATTTATTTATTCATACAAGAACTGGGGTGTAGGCCAGCAGTGTGTGTGTGTTGGGGGCAGGGGCGGGTGAGAGGATTCACTAGAGACAAAGTGAGGAGCAGAACATGTGGATCTACTGAAATATACTGCTGAGGGGAGCAGTGGGTGAGACCAGAGAGGTCTGCTGTGCCATGTGGGTTAACTCCTTGGCTGGGGATTGAACTCATGCTGCAGTGGCTGGTGACAGCTTGATAGCGCTGAGACTTAACCCCTGCGCCACCAGGGAGGCCCCAATGGAAACTCAAGGAAAGAGTGAGGGAAGCCCCAATGTTTATGCTACTCTAAGAATAAAATCTATTTCTTCTTTCAGCATATGCTGTTCTCAGCATGTATAGATCCTCATACCAAGACTTTTGCCCTAAGAGGTTCCTTATCTCAAACTTTTCCTACTCATATTCTGAGTGAAAGGCATAGAATAATCCAAGCTCCCACATAACAGATCACTTATGTCAGAACCACAAAGAGTAGTTTCTAAAATGAAGACCTCTGGACCTCCATTCCAGAACAGAGAATCAGAATCACTGGGCACAAGAAATATGCATTTTAACAAGTTCTCCATATAAGAAAGGAGTACATGTACAACATTTGAAACTCCCTAAAGTTAAGTGATTTATTCATTTTTTGATGCTGATTATAACAACAATGATAGCAAAAAATTTTACAGTAATAATTAAAAGGTGAAAGCTATGCATATTTTTTACTTTTCACTTGCATCAGTTTTCTCATTTTAAATACAATAACATACGCACCCAATTTCTTTTTCCTTTTGCTCTTTCAAGTAATTTCTGATGCAATTTTTCTCCAATTCCATTTTGAAATGTCTGGACTATTTCTTCAGTTTTCTTATATTCCTCTTCATTTGCAAATGGCTTTACTATAAAGAAAAAAAAATAAGCATGAAGCTATTTAGATGTTCAGATACTACCCACCCAGCTCAATTATTATTGCTTTCACAATCTTGAGACTCACTTATGGAAAACAGTTATGTTTATATTAAAAATTATAGCAGAGCAATAAATTATAATAGTTTACTAAATGAAAATGACTGAAAAGCAATAAAGCAAAATAGAGTAAGAAATTAAACAGTAGATATTATGTAATCTGATAACCATTTTTGAAAAATGGTTTTAGAATCATTGGGGATGATAGTTAAAAATGATGAAGATAGAATGTCCACGTTGCTATTATTCCAAAAGGAAAGTAAGTAATAAGATAAATTAAATCAACTTTCTACTAAATTTAAGCAGAGCCTTGAACAGTTTCATGTAAATGCAGTTTATATATGTAAATGTGAGTAAAAAGCCTATCCAGGGCAATTTAGACTGCCTGTAAGTTTCTTTTAAAACAACAACAAAAAGATAAAAGGTTCCCATTCCCTGAAAATCAAGTGTTCTGAAAATTAAGCTTAAATTAAGAAAGCAAATTAGAAGTCAAAGGACATTAATATTTTCCTTTTGCTTTATATTACCTCTTCCAAGTCTTATCTCAGAGTCCATTTAAATAGCAGTATTTTCAAATGAGTGATCAAAACTAGTAAATTATATGTGAATTTTTTCAAAAAAGAAACTAGAATTTTCAGGTAATATGAGAAAAAGGAATTTTTAAAAATCAGTTAAAGTGAACTGAATACAAACATTTATCTCTATTCCTAGAAATTCAATAAAATGACAATAAAGTATTAAAGGTATAAATCCATTAAGGACAAAGAAAATGAAAGAACAACGGATAGCAGACAAGTTAAACTAGCATTCGGTCAACTAGAAAACATGAGAAAATGGCCAATGATTCTGTAGATCTGGAGTTTGGAAGATAGGGGGTGATAGAATAGAGTAAAGCAGAAACCAAGAAGCAAGTCAATTCCCCAGTGTAGTACCAGAAAGATTCATGACACATGGACTTCAAAAGGCAGGGGATAAAGCGAGGTTGAAAACAGGAAGACTGCTTGGGAGTCTTTAGAAGCCACACTAGTTAGATAACCACCCATCCACACTAGTCTTTGTAGAGCTCCTTCGCTGTTCTTTAATAGAAGGCAACTTCCTTCCACTGATAGTAGAATTATGGAGGCTTACTTTCCAAAGCTGAATGAGACAAAAAATAAAACAAAACAAACAAACAAAAAAACACCCATGTATTCTAGCCTATACTGAAAAAAAAGAGGGAAAAAGGTGTACATGCTGAACAATGAGCCTGCCAGCCCACTTACTCTACTTAGCTCCCAAAACATGAGCTTATAGGCTTATGCCTTCTAAACAAAAGGTGAGAGAATATCTCATTAAAATGCCACTAAATCTGAGAGAAAGGAATAATGGTACTTGGCTTTGCCCTAATGGAACTACTTGATCTCTGTCCTATTACCTAACAAAGTGCATTGAAAGACCAAGTAGTTGCCAACCTGTACCTTTTTAGGATTTGGCTCTTTAGTATGAATGACTGAGGATTTCCAGATATTTCAGGAAAAAGTCTTTTAGTAAACTGAGAGTCAGACAGCAGAAGGAAGAACCCAAGAAAGAGAATAAAATATTTTAAAATGTATGCCTAAGGGAGGAGGTTGGAGGTGATTAGACAAATGACTACTACTTTTTATTTTAAGCCTAATAGTACTATCAGGTTTTTTTAAATTATGAAAAAATTAACACAAGAGAGAAAGAAAGAAAAGTTTTGGATATTTTATCCTTAAACTTTAATTATCATGATCCCAGAGGAGAAAGCAATTAGACTTCACTAACTTCTAAATGTTCAAGCTTCCCAAGTAGCTAACATATTAAGAGATTACAAACATACCTGCTTCAAGATATTTTTTTAATGATTCTTCGAGTAGAGGAACAGGCAGTGATGGAAGAGAATCCTGGTACTGAAATGTTCGCTCTTCAGTTGATTTAGCCAATTGATTTTCCATGATAGTCACAATAGGAAAACTAAAGGAAAAAAGCCCTTACAACTTCAATCTCATAAATATTCTTACATGTGCTACATCCAATTCACTACATCAATATTTAGGGATCACAATATATCCAGGACTTGGTCCCAGTTCCTAAGGAAATCATAAACTTGTCAGAAAAAGACATCAATTTAAAAAAGAAAAGCATATAGACATTAAGTGCTACAAGTCAAAAAGCAATCAATGGGACCAGTATAGTTACCATTTATTGAGAACCTACAATTTGCCAAGTACTTCAGTAGGTATTATCAAAAATGTATAATCTTCCTAAACTTCATCTTATCTCTGAAAGCTGGAAATAAGTATCACTTTACATGAGAAGAAACCAAAGTTCAGAATTTGTAACCTGCCTCAGGTCAAACCAATTCACCCAGGCCATAATTTTCCCTCTATAGAATGGCTACCTGATGGAGGAGAGTGGGCACCTGTGGAAACCTAACTGGGCAGGCAGGAGTCACATTTGTGAAAAATGGTGTTGGGCTGAAAGAAAGAACTTTAAAGAATAAAGTATTAAGAGGTATGAGTCATCCAACCACAGTCACAAAATATTATAGACTATATAAATCATAAGACAAGCTGTTGTAACCTAATTGTTCAAATAGTAGGAGGCCATTTGATTTCTCAAATAAGTCTTTATAAATAAAATAATATACCAAAATACCAGTTCATATCAATGAATAAGAATTTTCAGCCTTTTCCAAATATGGATTTTTTGAACTAATAGAAAAGTCAAACAAAATATTCTGCGCACAGTTTACAGAATAAAACGATCAAAAACAAGGGTGCAACAGAGACTATTTTCAGCCAATGTAATGTTTCTACTTCTAAACAGAATCCTTAGTTTTACCTGGCTATACAGTCACAGAACTATGTCTTTCCTACCCTCCCTTGGAGTTCAGTACAGCTTTGTTACATATGTGTAACTTCTGGCCCTGTCTGTATAAAGGCTACATGTGTTCTCCCCCACGCTTTCTCCTTTTTACTGCCTAAGCAAGTAGCGCCAACTGGAATAGCACCTTGTTATAGCAGCTATATATAAAATTGTCAGAATCTTCCCTAGACTCCTCCCTCCAAATATATGAAGAAAAATAACAACATATTCATGCCACTGTATTTTGTGTTTTCTTAGTTAGGGTAGCTTAGCCTATACTGCTAGTATATAGCAATAATCCAAAAGTGAGGTCTAACAAAGATCTCATTGTTCCTGTTTCTTCTTATCTCAGGGCTGCAATTCACTTGGACAATTCATAAACATGGCTTTGGATCTAACAGAGATATAGATCTAGGTCCATATGCCAACTTCTAGCCAAACACCCCAGGCAACTAATTTTAAATGAATTATACATACAGAGGATAACCATATAATCAGAGCTGTTATGATTATCGCTTTTTAATGCCTGCAAAAGCACATTATAAAAACAAACAAATCTAGTTTGAGATGACCATATTATGCTAGGCATAATGAATGGCACCTATGATTCTACTTTAAGAAACTGTGACTGTGAGATGATTACTTCAGTGATTGTTACTGTAATTTTTGTATAGCACAAGTAACCTTAAAGTAGGCAGATTATCCTGGTGGGCCTCATCAAATCACTTAGAAGCAGAGGGCCTCCCTTGGTGGCGCAGTGGTTGAGTGCTGGGTTGCGAGGCTGCCTGCAGCCTCTGCAGTGCCAGTTCGATCCCTGGCCCCCGGCGAGGGTCCCAACAACAACAAAATCACTTAGAAGCAGAAATCTTTCTCCAGCTAGTAGCAGAAAATGAGGGAGATTAAAAAGCATGGGAAAAACTGAAGGTGCTATTTGGCTTTGAAGACACAGATGGGTCTTTTAGAACTGAGAGATTCCAGTTGACAGTCTTTTGGAAATCAGGACCTTGGCCTTACAAGGAGGTGAAGGCTCAATAATTTAAATGAGCTGGAAGTACTTTCTTCCCCTAAACCTCCAGAACTATCAATAGCTTTATTCCAGCTTTTTAAAATCCTAACCAGAGTACCCAACTATGCCTACTAGAGCTTCAAAACTATAAAAGTTGTGAGATACTAATTTTATTTTCAGCTGTTAAAGTTTGTGACAAATTGTTATGGAAACAATAGGAAACTAATAAACACATATAGAAAAGATAAGCCATTCTCTCTGTACTTCCCTCCCACTTCATAGACTCTAGAAAATTGGGGCCAAGACTACCAGTTTCATGCCTTACAATCTTAAGTCATCAAGTGGTACACATTAAAAATGTGAATTATAAGATTTTTCATGAAGAATTACATGTTTTGAATTCTCAACCACAAAGATTAAATAATATAATTTCAAGAACTATACACGCATTCAGAAGAAAATGATGATTCTGAGTTTAATTACGGTGCGTTTTCTGGGGGCATTAAGAAGTAAACTCAAAGTGGAACAGAGAATTAGTAAAAATAAATAAAAGAATAGATGATCACATACCCGTACTCCAAGATGAACTGTTTAGAACTGCCAGCAGACTGTTTCAACAATTTCGTTTTGCGATCAGAGAATTTTAAACTAGTTAGTGACTGCGGGAAGGGAGAAAAAAAAAATAAGTTTAACAAACACTGCAGCAAAAAACAAAACGTATAAAATCTAATGAAAAAACGCGGAAAATAGACCATCAAGGGCTTGAGAATCCCCAAGAGCTAAATTTTTAGGAATCACAGCAAACACTTGCAAAAAGTACATCTGCTAAAGAGCTGGAGAAAAACTACTACAGGATTAAGCGAGTATTATCTTCCATTAGGAGCGCGAGATAGAATGTACTTCTCACTGCCTGAGTGTCTGGCGCCAGCGCCCTGTCGCAAGGTAATACACACTTCAGTCTTGGCAGCAGAGGCTAGAGGAGCAGAGGGCGACCAGAACAAAAGTCTTGGCCACCAACCCACAGGCAGCTCTGTTCACTCAAGAGGCCACTAAATGAGAAATCCGATTATGTACCCAGCGGCCCAACTTCGGTGGCACCTCTCCAGTCCCTGCCAGGGAGATGCCTGATGACAACCGTCTAGCCCTGGTCCCTCCTCCGCTCTGCAAAATTTAATTCTGTTCTGCCGACTCAACTTTGCCCGGTCCCGGAGCTTGAGGGTTAGGGGAGGGAAAGAGCTCTGCCCAGGAGGGCCTCAATGTTCTCACCGCCCGAGCTTCGCCAGCTTCGCCAACTCCGCGAACAGCAACAGTCGCCCCGACCCGCTTCCTCAGGGCGGCGGAGGAGCTGAAATTGGAAGTAAAGTCCCGCCCCGCAGTCCCGGGAGCTCGGGGATTGGGCGGAAACCCACGAGGGTCCCGCCCCGCGCTTGAAGCCTCGGACGAACCGGGCCTGCGCCCTCGGGGGCCGGGCCCGCCTTCCGTGGGCGTGCGCCCTGCGCGGCCCTGTTCTCTGCCGCCGGCCTGGGACTGGCCTGTCCACGGCTGAGTGGGCCGAACCTCGAGAGGCATCAGTCGAAACGAGGACAGTGCACCTGGCCCAGGGCACGGCGGCCCGGACGACCTTGCGGGGACTGCGCCCCGTGTGCTCCGCCCGCGCAGGTACCCAACCTTCTGGGACAGTGCCCAGACAGTTCCGAGTCGTTTTTACTCAGCCTGCGCCCACTGTGGGCGTCTTGTTGCCCTTTGTTTTCCAGCCAAAGCTCTGGCTTACCAGCTCCTCAAGTCCCTTCCCAGTGTGACGTTTATTGCACACACACACACACACACACACACACACCCCTAACCCCGCAACTCCCTTGTGGTAATTCATACTAACACCTTAAAGGAATCTTATTATTCACCCCATGTCCTGACAAAACACCAGTGACCTCACAGGTACTATTTGGTCTCTCTGTCCCTTCAACCTCTGGGACCGAAACTTGCCCCAGGTTGATAGGGTGCAGCACAGGTGTTCGAGGCCCCTAGGGATACACTGCAAGCTTGGGACTCATCTGTTGTCTTTTACTGTCACGTCAAGAAACGGAATTGTTAGCCAGAGAGGAGCTAGGCAAGTTGTAGAGGAAACATAGCTAACTTAATTTCCAAGACTAACCTATTTCCATTTACCTCGAGAAAGTTAAATATACCTCTTCCCCCTCATTTTAAATGCACTGACCAACTTGTGGAAGAAAAGACCATAGTTCACAGTGGCCCTGGACTTTTTTTTTTTTTTTTTTTTTTTTCATTTTTTTCTCTAACAAGTGGGGTACGGGCCAGAGTTGCGGGGCTGGGGGTGGTGAGAAGATTGCTGAGGGGAGCAGCGGGTGAGACCAGAGAGGTCTGCTGCGCCACGTGGGTTACTCCCTAGACTGCTGAGGATCAAACTGGAGTCAAAAAGGTCGCTGACAGCCTCACAGAGCTGCGCTCAAACCCTGCCCCACCAGGGAGGCCCCTGGTCCTGAACTTTATAGCAAATATAAAGAACTAGATTTCAAATTATCATGTCATATTAAAAAAATACACAAACATGTCATTATAGGTCCCAATCCTTTACCTGTCTTTTCTAACTCACTTGGTGGTAAAATGTGACCTGACTGGAACTGAATATTTACTTGGTGGAAATAGTGATACGTTTTCTACAGAAATAAGTATTTGAGTGCAATGCAGCTCCGGCCCTTGCTTAATACATAAGTCAGCCCCTACCTTTTTTTTTTTTATTTTTTTTTTTATTTTTTTTTTTTTTTATTTTTTCTTTTTATAGAGGCATGTTTTATTTATTTATTTGTTTGTTTGTTCGTTTGTTTTGTTTATACATGCACTGGGTACAGTCAGAAGCGCGGGAGGGTGAGAGAATTCACCAGAGCCAGAGCGGGGAGCAGAGCAGGCAGAAGGACCGAAGTACACTGCTGAGGGGAGCAGCGGGCGGCAGGAGAGGTCTGCGCGCCATGTGGGACCCTCTTCTGGTGGCCGGGGAGCAGCCGGGAATCGAACCGGCGCTGCAGAGGCTGCGGGCAGCTTCGCAACCCAGCGCTCAACCGCTGCGCCACCGGGGAGGCCCTAGCCCCTACCTTTTTGAGACATATTCTTATATATGTCTTAAAATGCTCTTTGCCAACTCAAAAATACATGTATATTTTCTTTGAAGTATATAGAAGGTGTTACATTATTTAAAATACTTGTAGGTATTTAACCATCATCCTGCCTTTTTAAAAACCCTATGTTATCAAGAAAGATAAAAAATAAAATCAAACAGGGAATTCCATTATGGGTTTATACAGAAGGGAAGGTGTCATCTTATTTTGTGTTTTTTCATCATGGCACCTTTAACAATTTGCAACTGTTCCAAGCTCCAGTTTCTTGCTTTGCTTTGTTTTTGCCTAACATGCTTATGACTAAGATTAAATTCTAACACTTAAAATTACCAAGTACTTTTGGAACGTCCTATAGTAAAGATTCGTAAAGATTCTTATATCTACTGTTAGGTGAGATGAAGTTGTCCCTTATGTCACAAATTGTTAAGATTATGGAACTTTAGAATAAAATTTCCCTTAGGGCTTCCCCAGTGGCGCAGTGGGTTGAGCATCATGCTGTGAAGCTGTCCCGCAGCCCCTGCAGTGCAGGTTCGTGCTCCTCTCAGCAGTGTCTTAAGTCCATCTGCTGTTCTGCTCCTCGCTCTGTCTCTGGTGAATTCTCTCACCCTCCTGCGCCTCTGACCTGTATCCCTATTCTTGTATAAATAAATAAAATCTTTAAAATAAAATAAAATTTCCCCTAGTATATGTGAAGATAATATTTATAGTGATCTGAAATGTTGTATGGTCTGAAATACCCTCTGTAATATCTGAGAGATGAAATTATGTTCTACAAAGTCTTAGAGTCATGCATTGCTTAGTTTTATCTTCAACAATCCTTACATTACAATGCAGAGACACACAAAGGATGGTTTGATGATTATACTGTTATTCTTAATATCAGGAAGCTGAGGTTCATCTACATGTAGTAACATATAAGAGACTTGGGATATGAAAACTACGCAAATAAGATCTCAATTATATGGAGTGAATTAGACATAACTCCCTTGTTTTATTCTCCAGTTACTGGCTACTTTTCTAACACAAATTCATGAGGTTACTGTGCTTCTTTGAAGAGGCAGTGTCATTTTTCATAAGAGTCAGGTGGAATCTTTTCTTCTTTGAAACTTCTAATAACCACTGATTGCCCCTACACTTATATTCCTTACCTAATTTTAGTTCTATCCATTCAGTATCTTTAAAATGTCTCATCCCAATGAGCATATTTGTGGTTTCCTTTAATCATTTTGTTTTGTTTTAATATCCTCGTTTTGTTCACCTCTGACCACACCAATTCATGTGACCCTCAACCTCATTAGACACACATCAGGTGTAGCCAGGCCCTCTCTAAAGTGGCTCAAAAGCACTATGTCGACAATTCAGTGGTCTTGAAACTTTCAAAGGACATGTTAAGTAAACATTTAGACATGAAGCCTAGAGGTCAGAAGAGATTTTGCTAGATTACATTTTATGTTCCTGCTAGTAGCAACTCATTGCTGTGCCCTGGGGTACTGAATTCTCCACCTTAGTTCTACTGAGACAAACCTAAATTTTCAAAAGGAATCTAAAGGAATTTTTAACCAAAATGTGTGGAAATGATAGTATTGAATACAAACTTATCCTGGCAAGAGAAAATATAGGGGCCTAAGTAGCACTATTGGGTACAGTTTCAGCACATTCTTAAGCAGTAATTCTCAAAAGATGGTGATTTTGCCCACATGGGTCATCTGGAAACATTTTTGATTATTACAACTGTAAGGGGGAATGTTATTGATATTTAGTGCATAGGATGTTAAACATCCTACACAGGATAGCTCCCTAAAACAAAGAATTTTGCAGACTAAAATGTAGGTACTGCTGAAGTTGAAAAACTCTTGTCTAGGTAGATGTGTGAGAAGAATGAAGTTAAATCATGCTATGTGGTCTCCAGCTCAAAGTGATTTGGGTTGGTACTCTTATATCCTGAGGACTCTGCCAAATCAATCTAAATTATGTTCTAATTCACTGTCACCAGTGTCTATTCAGTCTGAAAATCAAATTCTTGTTTCTCATTGGTGGAAATTCCAATTTGGATAATTTTCACTGTATGGAAAATAAACAGTATAACTAATCAGTGATCAACACTTTATTGATTTAGGGAAACTGTTTTCTCTACATCTCTAGTTCTCTTGGATTACTTAAGTGCCCCTAAGAGAAATACATTCCAGGCTTCCAGCACTAGTTTTTGAATACCAATAATGTAAAATTTTCCTCAAAGAGGCTGCTCACAAGTATTTATTTAGTATCTACCAAATCTCTATCATTCTAAAAGGAACAGTAGAGGATTTTTTTAAAAAAAACATTATCTCCATTAGTTTTTTTTTTAAAAGATTTATTTACTTATTTATACAAGCACTGGGTACAGTGAGAAGTGTGGGAGGGTGAGAGAATTCACCAGAGCCAGAGGGGAGAGCAGAACAAGCAGAAGGACCTAAGTACACTGCTGGGGGGAGCAGCGGGAGGCAGGAGAGGTCTGCGCACCATGTGGGACCCTCGCCCGTAGGCCGGGGATTGAACCGGCCCTGCAGAGGCTGCAGGCAGCTTCGCAACCCAGCGCTCAACCTCTGCACCACCGGGGAGGCCCTCCATTAGTTTTTTCATTCTGAAAGTGATAGCAGTATGTGCAAAGGACAGTGGGAGGCATGTATTTATGTATATAGAGATGATTAGATACCACTAATTGATGAAGATCCTTGAGTGATACAGTATAGGAGGAGGAGCATGGATAGGAATCATTTTTAAAGGTGAAATATAGCCTCCCCATTTTTAAAACATGAGATTAAGATCCCAAGGGGCTAAAATCCCTCTCACTGCAATTAGGATCTAGATGGAAGATTTTCTTCATCATAGCTCTTTCTGCTACACCACACTGTCTCTTAAGAGTCTCTTGGTGTAGAAAACCATTGTGGATATATAGGCTAGAAAGTATCAGGGACAAGCTGTGAAAACAGAACAAAGGAAGTGTACTTTTCAAGAAGGAATTCATTACTGAAGGGAAAAAAATAAAGAACTTGCTACCTAGGAAGCACCCCTAGTAGT